TATTTCTTCGCTCAATCTTTTGTGTTTTCCAATTTACTTCTATCAAAGTGGTCGACATCTAAAATCTTGAGTTTTTCCAACAGAATTCTGTTGCGTTATCACTATCATTGTGTTACGACAAGGTAGTTTGGTGTCATAATAATAAATTCAGTATTCATTATTTGTTAAAGTCAATTTTGATTTTCCATTTGACTGATCAGATCAAAATGTTCGGCCTGTTTTGATATGGCAGCGCTTGTTAAGTACACTCCAACGATGTTTGCGGAATAACATGATGTTATTTGGTAGATAGTGACAGGTGGTGGAATCCAAGATGCTTATTTCATTATGTTCGGGACTCGCAAGTTGAATTTACCTGCAACTCCCACTGAGTGGTGGTATTCCTACTGAGACCCCAGTCCAGCGCCCATCGTTACAAACACCAAAGCATTATTGTGGGTTCCAGTGCTGGTCACCATCCACTAAATAAATTCATTACCTGCCCTACGATTATTTTAATCATCGAAAACTGTCTTCTTTGTTTTCTGATTAGATATTTTTATTTTGGTTTAAAGCAATTGATACATAATTTTTAAATAGTTTAGATTGCTGATAGTACGTTGAATGAGTAAATAAATTATATAAGCAAGATATTTGTTTCCACTCTTTTAGAAGAGATAAAACAACGTAAGTACACACTGCAGTAATTTTCTGTGTGAAATTTAATTTGTTTGTCGAACAGTATATGAATTGGCATCGTTTAATCTGCACTTTCTCTTTTGAACAGTCAAAGTAATTTGTACAGAGAGTAAGTCACTTGTTTTAAAGCATGTCATCATTAGAAATAATTGAACGTGATATTGGTTGGAGGATTTCATCATGGACTGACATCAGTCAGAGAACCAGTGGAAAATCTGGGAGTGCTGGACGGCTGTTTCGTCTTACTTTGGGACTTTTCAGTAGTACGCATCCACCGGGGTTCGAACCCAGGACGAAACGGCTATCCAGTACTCCCAGGTTTTCCAATGGCTGTCTAACTGGTGTCAGCTTATGATGAAATCCTCCAACCAATCAAACAAAAATCCCTTCAAAACCAATACTTGAATGTGATATATTTATCATGAAAGAATTACATAAAAGTTGATATTTTTTTAACTATCGAATGATGAGTAGAGTTTAAATGCCAATATGAAGATAATTTATCGCAACAAAGTGTTAGGTGGGAAAAGCTGCGTTACCTTAGTTTCATGTCATTCAATACCAAAAGAAAATGATCATTATCAAAATCTAAAATTTTATAGTTATCTCTAGTTAGTTTCTTACACCAAGAGACATTTTTTAAGATGCAAAGGATCTCTATTTCCACCATCTCTCAAAAGTGTGACTAATCTCTGTGAATATCTAACGTTCCACAACAGTTTTAACGCATAATTTCATTATGCAATTATACAGTAATACTATGACACTCATGTTTTCAAAGGATTTATTATGAACCACGTGGTTATGTAGTGAACATGGGTTGATTTCAGGTGAGAAGGTTATCAAATGCTGTGAGTTGTTAATGATTATACTCCAGTAAATTTTTATTTCTTGTCAAAAATACAACTTTAAAAGTTATATTAATAGCAAAGTGCTCTTTAGCGTTAGTCTAAATCCAATGAAAACTAAAGAAATATTGAAATTAATCCACACTGAGTTTAGTACTATTCAGAAGTTAATACTAGCAAGCCGTCAAGAGGTATGGTATTCTAAATCACAGCAAGACGGCTACCCATTGGTCTTTATTTTTCATCACTCCTCTCATTCATTTTCATTCATAACACATACCAGGTTGAAATAAATCAAGTCTCTACGAATCCAACAGCCTTAAGTCAACAATTATCAACTTAAGCTAAAGTGACCATCGAAAATCAGGGAACACTAGAAACTTGTTTCTTTTTAGCCGAGTTTTGTGCGTGCATAAGGAATGATGGACTAGAAATTGGGGACACTAGTAAAACAAATGAATTTATAAATAATACATCAATGGAAGCGAAAATAAAGTTTAGATGCTAATATGTATGCCGTGAAATCTGTCAGATCTTCGTTACACACCCCTCAAGGTCTCCCCGAGTCATTGTTATGGAGCCCCACATAATGAACAACAGTTTTTCAGTGAACCTTAAAGTGTATCAGTAACCTCATATGTAGACGTTAGTTAGGTATACAGAACATATGATACTAACTAGATATGGACCCTACTAAGGTTGTATTCAGGAAAAATAGGTATTTATATACATACATTTAAACAGTGCCACAGGATTAAGTGGATAAGAAAACGGTAGTGATTTAGTAATGTGATTATAACACTGAATCAGTATTGTTTTGACAGAGAGCACAAGGGTCTGGAACTTTACGAAGTGATTCAGTGACTACTCTGATATGATTAAAAACGTTATCCAGTCGATCACAATTTCCCCTTGCATTACTTATCAAATACACTCACCTTACACGGAACTATAATGTAACATAGCGCTAAGATATTTACCTTTATGTGATGGTGTTCACCTATAATAGGAAGCCTGGAATAACAAAAAATACAAGCACATCTGGAATGGAAAACAAAGTATAGAATAAGACAACGTTTTGAGGTTTCTGAGTAGATTACAGACAGATGCATACGTTATATTAAGTACGTCGAAAATGCTTCTTTAGGCAGTGACTTTACACCCCGTCAGGAAAGATAAGTTTGGATAATACGTCCTCTAGTCTTCGTGTTTATAACAATTAGACTTACATTGGAAGTAATTTTTAATTGTGTACAATTTAGATTATATAAGTGGAGGTAAGCCAGGTATAAACAGTAGTATTAATTCTCTAACAGTAGTCAGATATTTCCGAAATAAATTGCATATATTTATTTCACTAGGACACTTTTTCGATATATCTAACATTACATTAAAATAATGTGAAAAAAGCTGTCATTCACAAATGTAGAGTAATAAATGTGCTTAAAATTCTAGGCTGAAAGTTAATCTGAGTGATACATAGGCGAATCCAGAGAGTTTGTAGAGAAAATGCATACTTTGAATGCAAATTACCATTGTCGTGAATTAATACTTAGTTAAAAACTCTTCACAAACTGTCAGCTAAACGAATGTGAAATGCTTCGGCTTATACCAGACTTCAAAAAGATTGTCCTAAGGTGGTAGACTTCAATAAACTACAACCACACGGTTTGAAAGACAAAAATAATTTTTCAACCTCCAAAAAGTTATAAACACTGTCTAGAGTCTATTAAAAGTCTCGGAAATTAATTTAAGATGGTGTGAGATAATGAACATAACCAAATGCTTAGTGTGAAAGTATTTTCGACTAATCTTGATCTTAAGAACCAAGACAACTGTGTAAACCTTTATAAGCCAGACTAATGTAAATAAGTGGACTGACTCTGTGGCATGGATTGTAACAAATTGTCTCAATAGCACCTACATATTCCAACAGGCGATGGTGATTAAGATTATTAGTTTCAACTTTTCATATTATCTTGTGATTTACTTCCTTTTGAATGATTTTGGACATATTTTTTCATAATCCGACGATGCAGCATGTAATTAGTGATCGACATTTTCCTCGTAATATGTGTTTACATGAAGTAAAACCAGTGGACAATTTTCTCATTCGTACGATAACATACGATGCAGTTATTGACAAAATAAAAGCAAGCTATTGTAATATAATGATTCATTTCAGTAACCCCACAGTAAATTGAGCGTTAATAAACCAAGAAGAAAAACGAATCTTAGAAGCAGAGGCATAGAAACATCCCATAAAATATTTTGATCGGCAATGTCTACTAAAACTGTTTAGAAACATATATAAATATATATTTATGAACTTCTGTTTACTGGAACACTAAACAGTAAACATATGGATATTTCAAAGTTGATAAGTGTGTAAAGGCTGATAGTATAATAGATGCTGGGCAACAGTAAAGAACAGACACCAGAGTCAGACGAATCTAAGCCAACCAATCAGATCTCTGAGCATTACAAATGAATGCTTTTCATAATCTTCGCTGTAAGTTTCATCCTGATTCAGGGTTAAGGTTATGATAGGTTTAAGGAAGGGTTGGGGTGAATGTGGCAAGGAAGATTAGGAGTAGGATGAAACTTGCAACGAAGATTATGAAAACCATCCATTTGTAATGCTGGGCGATCTGATTGGTTGGCTCAAGGTCGTTTGGATTTGGTGTCTATTCTTTGCAGTTGCCAGATGTTGTTATATATTATGCAAGACGCAAGATAACAAACAAACTGGCATTCGGCCATATTTACTCTTACTTATCTGACTAGCCCAGCAATAAATCGAATTATTATTTAAAGAAATAAGATTTTAAAAATTAGAAAACGATCTGAGATGATGGAAAATATTTTTTATTCCTGTAGTTATCTGAACTGAGGTGCACGCTAGCAATGTCAGTTGAAACATTATCTCCAGTGCTTCATGAAGGATTCAAATAAATTCACTAAGCTTTTATATTCGTTAGGTAAATTTTAGTTGCTTCTGATGTGACATATCATTCTTATCATCTCTGACATTCCTTCTTAGAATTTCCCAGAGAGATTGAGTAAATTTTCTGATTGACTGAATCTGTTTTTGATGATATGCATAGAGGTTGGTGGTTGACAGTATGAGCGTGAACTAATGATGATTTATTGACCAAGAGGATTACTTCTAATTCACTTCAGCTGTTATACCTAAACATTAATTCCACTGCTAGATAGTTACCCAAAAGAACAAACAAGAGTATTATGTATTATGCATAAAATAATAAAAACCAGTTGGTAAAGATAGTACAGAAGGAAACATAAAATATGAAAACGAAACTAAAATATTTTCATAGGACGAATTTTAACTTTAAGGTTTATCTATTTCATTCCATAACTGAATTTAACTGGATAAAGATGCACAGTGATTCAGCATTATTTATTTACTGTTTTGAGTTAAATTTATTGCTCATAATTACAAATGTTTCATCCATGATAGTTGAGATTATCTTAATAATGACTATTATCAGTTGTCTAAGGATAACCATTGCAAAATTTTGCGTTTCATTTTGTAAAATTTCATTATTTATTTTCTATTTATCAATATCTCAAGGAAACAGTATTCACCCTTTCAGTGGGAAAACTTTATGGTCAATGTGTATTTTAAACTTCATCTATTTAATGTTGTCAAGATATTTTTGAACATTCTACACTTTTTGAAATGATAACATTTTATTCTTTTTTATCAGTCTGTTGAATAAAATATTAATCATTTACGACTTTGGTAGAAACGATGCTTTTTGATATTTTCAAGGGTTTGGGTTGTAAGGATTAGATTTATTTATACGGGTTTGACCAAGGATTGGTATCAGTTGGAGAACCATTGAAAACCAGTGAGTTCTGGATAGCTATTTCATCCTGGTTTAATTAATTAATTAATTAATTAGGATACTGGTGACTGTGTTGTACAGAATGTAATACATAATATAAAGTGTAGTTTAGAAGGGGATGATTAAATGGAGGTTAAAATATAGAGGCTGAAATCACCTAATAACCCTTGAAAATTATTCATGCAGTGTAAATGGACTAAATGAACAGATGGACCTACAGTTTTTATCTAGTTAGATCAAACATCAAATTTAGTAAGGCAAATGATTAACCTGCGGCGTTAAAAACAGGTTATCAATAACTTAAGTACCAACTTTTCATGTACTGATGATACTCTGCAATCACTCAATGAAATAATTTCTGTTGAATTATGTTACCTCATTTACTGATGAAAGTTTCCCGATAGACTGTTTCATAAAAGTATCTTCATATTTCATAGATTTATCTTAAGTCAAATGAAAAAACATTCACAAGACTTTTAGAGAAAGAAAAATAAAGCCCGTGAGAAATGCACAGAAAAAATTTAGAGTTCCTTAAATAAGAATTATAATGGCACATAAAAATTGGTCGCCTTATTTTTATCAGTAAAGATGATCAAGTTGAACAGATAATATCTGAAAATTATTTATGTGAATAAACCGACGTCTCTCTGAAGTTTCTATGAAATGAGGAAACATTTTACAGAAGTGAATGGAACACATGGTATGACTGAAAGGCAAGCGAAAAATACAATATGTGAGTTCAAATACTACTGCGCAAGTACTTACATAGGACCTACTCTGAGGGCTCTGTTCATGCATTCACCGTAATATATATCTGTATGGTTGAGTAAGAGAGCAGCCAAATATGTAAATACTTCAGTCTTAGCCCACCCAGGGAATACTGGATACTCAATCAAACCAGAGCAGGCGTTCTCAGTGAGAGTTCCTCGGATTCTCTCTAGACATGCCCGATCACGTCTTCAATCAGTAGCCGAAGTGATAGTAGTCATTACCCCAAGACCTGGTTTCCGTATCCAGAAGTTTGTGAAGTCGCTTATTTATATCAGTAAATCCTCCATAAGCTTTGAATCTCTATCTTCTTTCTTTCTGCTCCTTTTCCCTTTTTTTCATTCCACTTTATTAAATTCAATATTTCCTAATAACCGTTCACCAATCGTACGTTTATGCTAACGCCACACCATCGTTATTATTTTATCATAATTGTTGTTATTTATAACACTTGAACATACGTTGTGCTTATCCCATTTTCCGATTTATTTCCCTGAAGTCTTCATATCGTGTCTGACATCATTTACTACACTCACCATTGAAACCTGTACTTTAGTTGACTATATATATATAGCTGGATTATTTCATTCCATTTTATCTCCTGTTCTTATTGACCAGACATAATTTAAATTATAATCAAAACAAACTGACTATTATTGAGTCTTCTACATATTCCACAAAACACTTTCTAATAGAATTCTAATTTGCTCTTACTGACAATTGTATGCTAAAATGATTGCATTGACAATTGTAGAGTACGAAGAAAAATACATTGAAAGCAGTTGGGCACACTAGTAATTCTTGTTTTTAAAAAAAAGGCCTTATCAAATTAATATTAAGATTAAAACAATTAGTCCATTTGATAAACTTGAATAAGGCTTTTAGAAGACAAATTTCGCGAGATGATGTCATTTCGTAGTTTCTCCATCAGCACTTTTCAATTACCATGGTTCACAATTATAAAATAAAATGCATGACAACTACTTAGTTATATAAAACAAAACAACATATTAATGACCACTCATATTTAAATCTGTGATATGTCGAATTCTTCACATAATAAAATCGCTAAGGGGATTACAGAGGTCCTCATGGCAGTAAGAGACTCCTTATGAAGTCATTCTGTACAAATTTCATGCGATCTGACCAAAATGTTAAACACTTTGAATATTAGGGTAAAGGTTATGTGCTCAATTGACGTAGAATCTTTACTCACCAATGTTCCACTTTATGAAACTTTTGATTTCATTTGCGATTAAATCACAAGCAATGGGATACACTTACCTATTCCTGTCACTTACAATGAAGACATTATCTAAATATGTACAGAAAATATTAGATTCACCTTCCAAGGCGTACAAACAAATTGATGGTATTATGATGGGGAGCCTTCTTGGGCTCCTGTTAGCAGATACCTTCATGTCTAAATTAGGGAAACAAATGTAACGTAGGCTAGGAAAATTTATACTATTTGAACGTTATGTGGATGTTACTCTCATTATTGTCAATAACAGAAAGTCTATTGAGAATTTTATCACTGCATTTAATCACATTCATCCAGATATCCGAGTGACTTTTGAATGTGAATCGAAAAACAAACTCTGTTTCTTGAATATTTAAATGACTAGAAGAGACGATGGAACGATTAAACGATCTATATTTCGTAAGCAGACATGGAGTCGACACTATCTTCATTTCACCAGTTTTGTTCCTTTCCAGTATAAACATTCCTTTGTGAAATGTTTATTTTCAAGGGCCCGAAAAATATGCACGAGTGACACATTGATGAATGAACTTCGACATATACATTCAGTTTTATTAGCTAGTTTTTTCCAGAAAACTTTGTCAATTATCACAGTAAGGATAAACCACCTCTTGAAAAGACAGCTTCTGTTCCAAATAAAGCTATCTTTATTAATCTACCATTCAAGGGTGATCAAATTATGCAGTTGACAGCTCAAAGATTTCGGTCAGGCATCAGGCACACATTCTACGCCGCATCTCTTCCTCTCACTTCTCGAACATTTTCGATCTCTGTACCTACTACTGAGGGATGTAATTCTGTGGACTCTACTTCAAAGTGTATCTACAAGTTCACCTGCAGCTAAAGTGACGCTTATATAAATAGAACCAATAGAATGTTCCAATGTCCTAGAAAAGAACATATTCTAAAATGCAATTAATCTAAATATAAATTCATCATTATCCATAAAAAGCGCTTAATAATGTCAGGTCACAAATCATTATTAATGACTGCTTCACAATTATTTCACAAAGCTCTAATTCAACTTATGAGAATAGAAATGGTACACTATGAAAGAATATAATTCCATTATGCGTAAAATTTATTTTGATAAAATCTCACTGTCTTATACAGTAATATTTACCGATATTTATTAATTCAAGGTTACTGAAGGTGATGGATTAATCACGTACATCCCAAACTATGTGTACGAAAAACAATAGACTTCAAACTTCGCCTACCATGGACTACTTGACTTATTTAAATATGATTGGTGATTAATATGTTGTTTTGTTTTATATAACTAAGTAGTTGTCATGCATTTTATTTTATTATTGTGAACCATGGTAATTGAAAAGTGCTTATGGAGAAACCACGAAATTATATCATCTCGCGAAATTTGTCTTCTGAGTGCCTTATTCTTATTTTAAGAGTACAAGAAATATGGCTGGAACTTTTGCGACTACTCTACAATACCTCTGATCACATATAAAATGGGATCACATGACAGTGACTTAGTGAGTATATTTCTGAGCATTGTAAAGAATAAAAGATTGGAACATGGATAGCTGTCTCACAGTCATTAGCAGTGGTCCTTTAGATAATGGTTTGGTATAGTCTTATCTTCTACTTTGTTCATTAACATTTTCAGCATTACAGGAGAGAAGTGATCCCCTTATAATCTAGTAGATATTTAGCGTCAAAGGGTGATATAATTACTTCCCTCAATAATAACTAGACAAAGGTAAATTATAAAAGAAATGACTTCTAAATACTCGTACAACCTGTAAAGTACCTTACTTATTTAAATAATTTATTCATAAAACTCTGACCTAACCAAACGTTGTAACATTCAGTATCCAATACGAAAGCTTAGTAAATACTGAACAATTCTTACTTATATCCTGAGTTACATACCTTTTGTGGTATTTCAGAGTGAATTATACATTAATTAATTAAACGTATGCAGAGAATAAAGATTATAAAGTTGATTCTGCGTCTAATATCAAGTTTCTTTCGACTTATGGATCGATCATTTTAACTACCGTGATAGGAGATTCACTAATATTTTAAACTGGTACTATTAAACTGTTTAAGACAAAATAAAAACATTTTGCTTTCGGTATCCATCTCACTTAGATTATAATACTCAAATTCAAACCAAATTTTGTATATTTTCTGCAGCCAACTAGCACTGTTTTAGATTGTAGTGCAATTTTCTTGAAACACTGTACATCAGAAGTTCCCTTAAAACATTTTGCATATAAAATGCAAAGATTGAGACAAAAGTTCAGGCTGCTCAAGAATGTGTCCGTAGTTTAAATGCTATCATAACAATGAAATTCACTGTAATCCTTTCTGCAAGTAGGAATTTCATTGAAAATCTTTATAATTGTATACTATACTATCAAAGGAAATATACTTATAACTCAGCACTGTGATCAACCGATTTCCTGATGACGCGTAAACACGTTGTTTAAAACTAGAGTAAACCGTCCTCAAAATATGTTAATGATTAGCGGTGACAGTATCCGGATTGAACAGTATTATGTTTCAAAATTTTTATTGACAAATACTGTCTGAAAACTTCAACTTTTTGTAAACAGTCAATAAGTCAATAATAAGTAATTTTATGTCTATGGCTTTTCACATTAAGTTTATGAATATTTTTATACAGAAGTCATGGAATTCATTATAAATCTGTTATTTAAATAATTCGAAAAATGACTTTGTTCATATATGTAGTCTAGAGATCAACATAAGTAGTTTATCGAATATGAATTAGTTGGCATATTTTGTAACGATAAGCGTACGCTTTTAAATCCTCCTCATTGATTTAGTTATTCTCTGAGTAGAATTCAGTGACCTTAAAATAGTACCATATTCCAGGCGCCTACTATCAACGATGATCTTCTTGTTTGCAGTAGACTGGATCGTGCAACAAACCGTGGGGAGCGAGGAGACAGTTATATTTTGGAACCCCAAGAAGACTAAAGAAGACTTGAACTTCGCCGATGATCTATGTCCACTGTCACATAAAGTCGAAGATCCACGGAAGAAAATCGATAGGTTGGCGAAAAAAGCGACAAAGACAGGACTTTAAAAGCACATACAGAAGTGAATAGGGCAACTGACCAAGGACAACAAGCATCAGTAACCATCAGCAGGAGAAATTCAGAAAAAGTCAATTTTTTCACTTATCTAGGCAGCATCACTTAAAGTCCAGTTGACAGTACGAATGAGAATATCAAAGGCAGGATTGGAAAAACAAGACAAACCTTCAGTCTGGAACTAGAATGGAAAGCTGCTACACACAGCATAAAGGACAAGAACTAAATTTTCTACAGTGTTGCCCAATAGGTTCTTCTATATTGTTAATAGATTTGGCATGCGCATCACTAAGAGCATTTCCAAAAAGTTGCGGACATTTATCAACAGTCGAATATAACTCAGCAGAAAGGATTAGAAACAAGGAACTATAGCAATGAACCAGCCAAGAATTTACTCCTGAAAAACTATGCAGAAGGAAATAGAGATGGACTGGATTCACACTGAGAAGACCATTGACTGATATGTCTCGCGACGTCGTGGAGTGAAAAACAAGTGGGTAAAGACGAGTTGGGCGTCGGTCCGAGGATGACATGGTGGAAATGAGAGCTTATGGCCAATAGTGGGGCAAGAAATAAGGAGCTGCAGGGAACATGTTGAAATGGTGATGTGCTGCTGAAACCTTATGTCCAACTTAGAACCGAATGAAGTTATAATAAAAATAATACTAATAATAATATAGTTAGGTGGAGAAAGAGGTTAATCACTGGAGCTTTCTTCGTCGATTCAACACCGCACACATGCAATCAGAATGACGCAACACCTATACCGGAAATATGGAAAGTGGCAACAAACAACAAAATGCATTGGAGAGACAGGAAGAAAGAAAATATCTATCAGACAAAATGTGAACACATGTGACTAAATAGAAATGATTATGAGCAATAATATATGCTCCAAACGTCATCCGGTTGTTAATGGTGCATCACTATGTGGTCATTAGATTAACCTTGTCTAATGTGGAAGTACATTCTACCATAGTGTTCATGTCTTACACTTACATTATTAATCATAATCTCAATCTAATTTGTAAATAAAGTAATGCACTTGGATAAAGTGAAAGTAAAAACCTAAGTGAGATAATGTGGCATTATTTTATTTATCAGATTTGAGGATGACTACCCCGTGGAATCGTAATAAAGCCGATATAACTTTATAATTGTATGCACATTTATTCTTTTGAAAAATCTGATCACAGAAATCCCACCTAGTGACATATTTATGCATGGATTCAAAACGCAGATGATTTCTAGCATATGTACACAATGCTGAGTTTGTCAGAATTTGTTAGTCTAGATTTTGAGCCGCTTAAATCCTCTTGAAAGCCACTCAAAATCTAGATTAACAAATTCTTAGGAACTAAAGCATAGATTAGATAATTTAAAATTACATAATAAAGAAAAAAATGGTTAGTTTTGACATCGTCAGTCTGCATACACGCACACCAATAATTATGGCTATAGAGGTAGCCAGGAACTCAATTCTGACCAAGAGCTTGAAATTAGCACGAAAGCGCCACTTTAGGAGATAATGCTGAGAGTGCAGCTATGCCTGACTTCCACAGTATTTAAATTCCAGGGAAAATTATGCAAACAAACTGAGGGAGTTGCCAGTGAAAAAAGATTGGTTAAATGTTTAAGTGATAGAGCACAAAACTAAGTAGTACCAAGGAAAATCTAAGACAGGAAGTGAGGCATATAAAAGAAGCTTTGAAACTTAACAATTACGCTGATAAATGAGTCAGAAAGTATGTTGGGAAATGTAAAAATAAAATAAATAATGATAGTAGTGTTAGTGATAATAATAATTACAATAATAATAATAGTAACATTAATGACGACATGTATGTCAGACATGCGCAAGACAACACCAACAATAAGGAATCTAAATCATCATAGTAATTCCACACAAGGAAGGAACTTCGAAAACCTTACTCAGAATTCCTAACAAGGCAGGAATAAAAGTGGCATTCCAACCCACAAACTGAATTAGAAACAAGCTTTAAAATTCACAAAATACATAGAAAAGTCAACATCATGCATAAAATTAATTTTCTACAGCCATTTATTACAATCCAACGTAGTATAAAATTAATTCAAGTGTTCAGAATATATGCATATATTCATCTAAGCCCTTAGAACAAACGGAAAGTCATGTCACATCCCACTGGATCTACCAGTTTAAATGTACGTGTGGCTACACATACATTGGGAGGACTCGGCGATCTTTGCAAGTAAAGGTCTTAGAAGCAAATGGAATCCCCAGAACCCACTAATGATGAGAACAGACGACCTAGCATATCTATTACGAAACAAATCATAGAAGCAGGACATAAAAGTGATGTTTACACGTTTTCTAAACCTATTTATTAAACGTGGTTGGGGCGTATCCCAAAGTTTATAGAAGCCCTAGCAATTCAGAAGTTTAAACCACCAGACGCGTTCTAAAATAATTCATCACATTAAACCTTCCTTGGTGAACTTCGTTTTAATACCAGGGCAGATGTACTGTTACCATACTTCTTTGGCTCCGTGATCTCCAATGTTATTTTGACCTTCAGTATGTCCTTTTAACTTGACCTTTGTCTATTTTCTCACCTCGTAACTCTTCACTATTTCCATACCTATATTCCTGTGACAAGCATGTTCAGCTTTTTCGAAATGTGTTGTGCAGATATATCATTTCATAAAGAGAACTCTCTTTGTTTTTTAAAAAGATGAAATATGTAAAGTACTTATTTTAGAAACTGATGTTCTCTAAAAACCTTAAATTTATGTTCATTGAAGTATACAAGGGACACAAATAACTGTCAAGTGTCATGATTGCCTATTTGGCCTTCTATTGAACAAAAGCTGAAAATGGGAAGCCTTAAGTGATTAATTGCGATTGCTTCATGGACGACATTTTGCACACCAGCGTCAGATAATTTCTCTGTATGTCTCAGTGTGGGTGGCATGCATAAGATGAAACTTCTAGGCTGCATTTTATAAGACAACTGAAAAGGCAATGACTGGTTGCAACTAGTCGAATACAGAAAACTGAAACAATGGAGAAAGCTCTCATGGTATGCTCCCATTGTAAGACTTTATCTACAATTGACAACCTGGGTTTTATCAGCAACGGGGTGTAAAGAAGTTTATAACTTATGCAATCATGATGCAGAACAGTGAACACTGCTCTATTTTTAATCTCTGATACATATATACATTACTGTTGACAGGTAATTAGTAAAGTGTTAATTCCGGTTACCACTCACACATTAGAAATACCATCTATAACAAAAGTAGTAGGATGCAGCAGGTCGGGTGTGAGGACAAATACTCGCCGAAGACATTGGCTAGGGGTCACGCTACGTCGTGAATTGTCAGAAGTTAGAATTCATGGGCCATTGGATCGGATCAAAGTGGCTTAATGGTATACGAGCTCGTCTTGTAACCAGAAGGTCACGGGCTCGAATCCCGGTGGGTGCGTACCACTGAAGAGTCCCAAACTAGGACAAAACAGCTGTGCAGTGCTCTCAGGTCTTCCAGTGGCTCTCTAACTAAGTTCAGCTCATGATGAAATCCTGTAAAACGCATTCTCCTTACCTGTATATAGTATACACACTAAAAGTGGCTAAGCGATATCTCCAAAAATAACAAATGGTGATACTGAGTTAGTACTCGAAAGAAAATTTATTCTATGTAGTGACTAATATTATTCTAGTAGCAGGTTTTGTTAGTGATAATCTTGAGTGGACCCAGAGGTGACTGAATTTCTCAATATCATTAACTAAGGACTTTTTATCCATATCAAGAATCATCAAAAACAAAAATGCCATACTGCTAACTGCCAAACTGTAATATTAGTGTATACTGAATTCCCATTTCTGTGCTTATACTTGGTAACTGTCGTAGGAATTTAGACGGCTTATACAGATGTATGTGTTCAAATTCATCATTTCTGAGTCAATCGAATCAATAAACATTATTGCTAGGAACATGTATAGATTAAATGATATTTTGTCTCGTCTGGAATATTACTATGAGTACCATTTCGTAAAATGAAAATTGATGCGTCACTTTTACAAAATGGCCTGTTTTCTTTGTTTACCCAATCTTTCAGATTAGGTGTTATTTACTCACACATTGATCAATAAGTTTCATTTACATCTATGCAATAATAAAATAATGTGAGCATTTAGGTAAAGACATCCGTGAGTGTGCAAACGTCTTGAGTAAATAGGTGTTAGAGTTTGTTTTTTGTTTCGTTATTTTATTTAATCAAAAATAATTATTCATTCTGATCCATCCACTTTGTTGAAGACACTTTACAAGTGTAAAATTCTTCAGTAACTAAGAGATCACTCTAATGAACAAATATATCTACTTCTTTCTTCCCTTCTTGCTTACCTCAATCAGCCTGAACATAACACTGGCAGGTGAAGGTAGGTTCAGTGGTTATAAAGTGTATTTCAATGAATATTATGTGACGAAGCTGCTTTTAAATATTAACAAAATATCCACATATTTACTACAAGTACTTTTTTCCTATGTTTGAAGACTGAAAGTAATCAGGCAACAGAGCATTCGTAACGTATAAAGAAATCGCAGATTACCACTGTCAGAGATTTCCTCACTCAAACATAATGCAAAATTGAATTTAGTCATCAGTATCCAATATCAGCAAAATATAACCCATACTATTAAGATCCCAAAAGTAAAAACTTAAATGCATAACCAGACAGGTATATGCAAACAGTCAACGAGAAATGAGACTCAGTTTTTGTTCTCAAACCTTTTTTGAGTGAGCAACAATAGAAACTGAATAATATGACTGGATATAATCTTATTATTAATAATGACTTAAATAACTCTGCAGTAAGTCCTACATTTTAAGAACTTTTTGAAAGGTGTTTTCTGCTAACAGAGTGAAAGGATTTTATGAGGGTTGAACTATAGTAGGACCACTGATGGAGTCAGAATAATGATGTTCGTGTCAATAATCCTTTTTATCTAGATAAGTTATTTTGATAACTCAATTAATACACACGGTGAATGCACCTGATTATGAGTTCTTCTGATCTTCTTAACTTTAGTGACATTAATTATTAAAATTATTCAACCAAAACTGGTACGCTGGATTCAAAACTTAGGATCATTCCTAACACTATAGAATTATAAAATAAACAACAAATGTGAATAAAGCACAATTATTCCAAGTCTCTACTGTCTTTCCACACAATTATTTTTTTCTCCATTGTCTACCCCAATCTGAAGTCAAATTCACAAGATAAATATTGTAGTTTCATCGTTTTGTATAACTATTTATGCTCACTTAGGTTGTTTATTTTAATATACTACAACAAGCAATCACGGTGTCTAAAATAAGCACTCATAGTGTTGATCTAAAGAAATTCGTCACTTTGAGTTCTTAATGGAACTTCAATTTTTTGAAATTTCAGTGCCAGTGGCATATTTTAAGGAATGCAGTTCTTAGTTCCATACCAAATCTTCCTTCACACAGAAGCTTACAGCAATTTAGTAAACTAGCTGAGGTTTAGGAGTGAAATGGCTGGGAATTGAACCTGGACCTTGAGCATGATTGACTAGCATTCTGCAATTCCATCATAAAGCACCTATTCAGTATATAATGGATACATGTTAAGGTGAATGTTTCGACAGATTTAAATGATAGTACAAGCTTTATGTAGTATAAAGACCTACATTCTATCACTTTTATTTATTTGTTAAGGTAACTAACATCTGTGAAATTTCCTGATAATGAATAAGGTTTATGAAGAGGATCAGTGAGTCGGAGTTTCAAGACTAGAATACCCACTAGCCACATAAGTAGTTGGCGGGGGAGATCCCAGGCCGACGCAATTCTAAATCTCGCTAAGTCAGTAGTGACCCCGGTTTAGAGGGAAGGTTGAGTGTAAGGCTAGCAAACTCAGCCCGTAAAAACACAAGTGCTACTGGAGCTCTAGGGTTTAAAGCCCTATGTTGCACTCAGAGGAATGAGATAATAATATAATGCAGAGAATCCGTGTTCAAGACGATAACCATATAAGAATTTAATAATGCTCTAGAAACTGATTTTTTATTCTTAATACATGGAATCCTTAAAGTAGCTTACAATTAAATGAGAACAAAAATTATTGAGATAGTGTAAATCATGCCTTCTTAATTCAGTAGTAAGTCTTAAAACAGATTGTATCATGTGCTGTTAAAGCCTACGTTTCACAGGAATTTTAAAATACCTTACATACAGATTACAAATGCATATGATTATTACAGAAAAATCACCTAATGGCACTCGTGAGTTTACAATCTGTTATATTTTATAACATATAAATTAACTTCTACTCCAGGGGGAGAGGAATAGTCAATGAATTCTAATTTAGGCCTAGTGTCTTATAGCCTTCCCAGTTAAAATAATGTCTGTGAAACGTTTGTGAATTTTAGAATGGATCCATTTTTAAAATTATATTTCTCTCATGGAATAAACATAATGCGAACAATAGTTGTGATGATAGGCAGTAATTTCACTCGATTACCAAAGAAGAAAAACTTTATCACTGTGTGTGCGTTACTAACCACTGAAAATAAGATTTTAATACATTTGTCATTACTGCTTTTTATTTGACTAATCTATGTTCATGAATTGAATTTTGCTGTAGAAGGTATATGCCATGTCTCAGTTCAAGTGAATTCAACGGATTATAAAATGTAATCGCTTGCCGGTGGACTAGCAAAGGACACATCTATTGCATAGATTGGTGGTTTGTAATTATTTTACTGCATGAAAATAGCTATTCCAATACGTGTGTACAAATTGAGCACTGTTATAATTCCGCATCAGTTTGTTCGTTAAATATGTCACAGATAAGAACAGTGTTACTCACCGGATGATGCATCAAATATAACTTTTTATTCATAAGCATATCAGATGTATTATATATATATATATATATATATATACATTTCAACGAGTTTCATGCTAAAAGCACTTCCCAAACTGAAACTGTAAACAGTTTTGTGACAACCAAAAGACAGGGAAGTTAGCGTATGTTTACAATCATCGTTTGTCATTCAGAGTTCTTAATAATACTAACCAAGTGGACAAAAATAGGTGCAATGTAATGAAAATCATGAACTAAGTCGTATGATATGTGTCACAAGGGATGAACCTGTGCATTTGCTTTGCTCTTACTAATGTTCTTCAACAGTGTACATTGTATATTCCTAATAGTTCATCCATTGATGCTGAAATGGCCAAAGTTCATATTTACAAAGGCAAATAAGTTTTCTTGAACATTTATGTAAGTGTTTTGTAGAATAAAAAAGTGGAGCTCAGTTTATCTTACTGTTTCCCACCAAATGATTATCAGTATCCAACATCATAGATGATAACAACAAAATGATATGAATGCTATTGGTTAAACCAAAGTAACTGTCCGAAGGTTATCCAAAGACAAAGGAGGGAGCAGTTTTACTCAGCTTCAGTCCGTACTATAATCGAAAACGATGTCATCATGTGTATAAGTGAAGATAACAATACAAATTGGTAACAGAACTAACTTTTGAGATTCTCTAGGTTTCAATTTTCCGAATCTGTCTTTATTAATAGCGTTCATTCTCAAGAGTTTCACTAGACTGTTTGTCACCTAACTTGGTAAAGTCTTCATATTTTCTGAAGAAGAGTTCCTGGTAAATTTGTTCTCATTTTCATGAATGCATAACATCTTACTTCTATATTCACTTTTATCTGTGTGAGGTATGATCACTAGCTCAAATGCTTATACAAACAGCCAGCAGGAACCCATAAGCTTTAAATTTATACTTGCTTGAGTCTATCAGCAAGACATTTTTGAGATGGTAAGTAAAGGAATGCACCCTTCGAAATATAAAATGATGTCACTAAGAGTTGAAGTTATTAATCTTAACGTGTTTATCAATAAATTCTACTTACATGTATTATTCGGATATAATTCATTGAGACGCCTATTCGTTAAAACAAATTGCCGTTCAACAGAGGTCCCTGCAGCAACTAGCCCTCAAGTGACATGTAAGTTTATATTTTTAACATTAAATGCTTATTTTGGCCTGAAACACTTTGATCAGCACACTATATTAATCACATCGCACTGATGATTACGTTAATTTACATCAATAGTAATTACTGTTTCTTATAATTGCGGTAATTTATTTGTGCATTAGACAAATTAATGGCAGTCATTGAAAGTAATCATTACTTGTTATTTCAAGATCTTATATTGCTGGTTATGTAGTTACGATAAAAATAAATTTAAGTACAATAAATATTATAAAGATAATGAAGTGCCCTTAGTCATAAATAAATTAAAGTACTCTGTTCAGTTAATAATTTCGTACAAACCAATGCAAGTTGATGCACGTCTTCTTAAAATATTCTGATTTAAATTTAATTATGAATAAACTTATCAACCAGAGAATTATTAAAAAAGTTGGAGTAAAGCACATATGCTTTTTTCTGCATTTGGTACTCCACCAGTATTGAGCCAGAGTGTAGAATAAGATCAAGCGAAGGGGTATTAAGTTGTGAGACCAGGATGTAACACTTTACAAAATGTTCAAATTAAACTGGCTTGACAGGTGTTTTTGGATATTGCAAAGGGAGATGGAAATCAAATCGGCTGTGAAGGCAGCCAGTGACTTATAATCTTGATTGCAGGTTCGCTGTATTTTGAAATGACAGCAATCAGACCTTGTGGGGAAACGGATTCCTATCCTGAATTTAGTGTATAAGGATGACAGGCTTTATCTTTCACGCCATCGAAGGCACGCACTACTGGAGAGCTTTAGAAAATGAGGAAGAGACTATCAAATTTCCCTAAGTTTCCAAAGACTTAGAAATCAACTGTAAATTTCTTAAAGTCCTTTTAATTGTGAACGTGTATTTCAGAATTATTGATTAAGCAAATGAATTGACTGAATAATCAGTTATGAATACTTGAAATTTTTCAAAAATTTTTTATGGTTTGTGTGAAATTGATCTGTGGAAACGTTTCTTTAATAGTCACCAGAATAATGCAGAACATTATAAATGTAGTTATTTTTAACTGGTGTTGAAAGCTCTTAAGATTTAATGCTAGAAACAGATCATGCTACTACATTGACATTCAGTCGATATTCATGTTCTTAGGGTTGTAAATAGCAGACGAAAATGTCAGTCAGCAAATTTTAAGTGACTTCGGTTTATTAATTCACCTCTTCGCATTAATTTGTCATTTTAATAAGCTGCTTAGACATTTTCGAAGCATTCTATGTGAAGCATACACATTCTGATACAAATAATATTTTCATCTCATCGTAAAAGCATATCGTTGTTTTTTGTCTGTATTGTATTTGATGAATCTTACACTACATTTTAAAACTTAGTTTGATCAATGTAACAGAACGAATATGTATTGATCAAAACGGATTATTAGTAGAGTCCTACCAAACCTAGAAGTTTGTTTAGCCTCTATAGTAAGACCTTGAAGTATCACTTATGCTAGAAAAACAGCTAACAAGACGTCGAATACTAATTATTTTTTCTTCAAAATCACAAAAGTTAATAAAAACAGTGAGGTTGCATATTTTGTATCTGATCTAAATATCTCTAAGTGATTGTTGCAATCGTTTAAGGACAAGCGTAACGGGGCTGTAACGGATTGACTCAGCCTAGAGAGCTGAATCAGTATAAACCAACCTCATACTTGAAATCCACTTAGGTGAAGTGGTCGTTTATTGATATTCGCCTCTTTATTGAATTTAGACTTTTATATCTAGCAACCCTGAACATAGTATATACAAGAGATATGACAATCATAGGAACGAATTAATTTCAGCCATATTTAAACAAACCTCGCTTATTTTACTATCTGGTCTTATACCTGTAAAACATGGTAGGTTAAGGAATCACTCCTCCAGTGGCATTGACAAAGAATCCAAAGACCTCAGCAGATGTACACGCGCCTAGACTGTAAATGTGGAAGGAAGAACAGATACTCCCCGACTGGAACAAAGACCAACTTTCAAACTGTCGAAAAATGGCGGCTTAAATCTATTGCAGGGACTGGTAAGAGATCATGCCGCTGCTCAAATCAAGCAAAATAATAATCCATGTCATTCTAGAGGAGTTAAATGACGCCTAGGGTATCAGAGGTTTCCTGAAACACACAGGATTCAGATGAACCAAAACATGCACAGATGAAATCTCAACACAACCCATCATCATGGAAAAGAGTATAGAATGGTAGTCATAGACTTCATAGACTTTAAAAAGCCATTCAAAAGCGTCAGCCGTGGAGTCATTTAGAAACTGCTTCAACACTACAGAGCTCAGTGCTGCAAACATTCGTATACCTCATTCAACAGCCATATGATGTCACATGCCAAGGGATTCCTAACAGAAGTCTAACCGAAGCGTCCAAGGTGAAGATAGGTTGCATAATATCACCGATGATATCCCTGACTATGGTGAACTGGATCGTACAGCAGACTGTGGAAACTGGCGAGATGTGCATACGTTGGACCTACAAAAGACCACAGATGAGTTGTGGTCCCTGGATGATTGAAGTCTGAGGCCAAACAAACTCGAAGACTTACATGTGAAAAACAAGAAGTCTTAGAATAGGCAACGAGGACAGAAATTGGCATGAAAAGCAACGAGTTTGGGGTCCGATGGTGAAATGAACAGAATAATAGAAGGAGATAAGATTAGCTAGTTAGCACTCGTAGAGCTAGCTGAAAATGATAACAGAGACTCCATGGGAATGAAAATGTGTCTATGAAGTCAAATGTTCTAATCGAAAAGCAAGTCGTTGTTGATAATATAAATGATAATACCTAAATAATTCATTATTTTCTTGGATAGGTCAGTGAATCTCTACATTTGTTTATACTGGATATCAGAATTACATCTAACTACAAGAATCGACGTAGACCTCAGCATTTTCATTTAATTTGGTAGAGTTATAAAAATAATGTACAAGTTGAATCAATCTACTAACAAATTTTGTTACGCATAACAATATTACTATTTAATAATAAGTAGTGAAGGACAAAATGGTACTTTTCGTCTTTCTATTTATCGACTTTCCTACTAGAAGGAAAATACCCTTACCTTTGTGTGTTTACTACCTAAACCTAAATAAGATAAATACGCGACATACAGCCACATCAAATAACATGCTTTCCGAAGACAATACATAGAACAACATGATTTATAAAGGAAGCATAGGATTTGAGAATACAATAGCCAGAGATTTGATGGAAAGACGAAATTCACTAGATATTCATCACTCCTTCATGGCAATACACCTCGCAATGATAATAGCTGAAGAACGTGAGCCCTTTTATATTCTGACTGGGTGATTGAAATGTGGTAAACTAGACTCAAATCGTCATAGTTGCAATCTCAACTTTTAGAGGATATGTAGGTGGGCACCGGTGAGAGTTGGGTAACCAAGACAAAACAGTTACCTAACGCATCGTGATTTCTAATGGTTCTTTAAATTTTATCTGTTCATTAAAGAATTAATCTTAAAATCATTCAAGTGCATACGCATCGAACATTTTGATGCTTTTAAGTTATTATCACAATTTTTGAAATTAAGACATCTTCGGCTGACTACTAGTCATGATGCCATTTAACGCCATACATCTGTTTGTTTTCCCTTTGCCTAAAACTGCTACTAGGATGGCGTCCAATGCAAACTGACTTAAAGTCGTAAGATACACACCCTTACTGAAAGGAAACACTATGATACATATTTGAATCCCTAACATAAATCCTACTCAGTCAGAAAAATAATGTTACCTTGTGATAGGTTTACTGGCCCAAAAGCTAACACACAGTTTTCTTTAATTAATACAAGTTTTGACATTGTCAAACCTGACATAAATAGCAACAGCTATGCCAATTACACAAGTGACACTACTTTCTTTTACCCTAGGAAGTGAGTATTTCCAAATTATTAAGAATTACAAATTGCATTATTTATAGGAAACATGTTAAAATAGTGACACTTTAATTAACTATAGATGACATTGGTGAATTGAAAATATGATTACTTCGCACAGTATAAAATGCTGCCAAATAGTACATATGGAAACGGAAGCTAAAATCTTAGTGTATGTTTTATAGATCTTTTCATATAATTCTAACCAGTAGATTGAATTTTCTGATTTGGTCAAGATTTTCAAAAGTTCTACTCATGACACAGGTTTATCTGTTGGCTTGGAGTCTTCCGTTCCATTCAACATATACATTTCCATGTAATGTAGGTATTTATGCATCTAAATGAACATGAATTAGTGAATCAGACTGTATCATCAGTAATTATTTCGTTTCTTTCACCCTGCACATGATTCACTTATATTCTGAATGAAACAGAACGACTTTTAGGAATGTTGAGCTCAATGAAATATAACTAGTTATCTGTTTTTCTGCTACGTCATAGACTACAATACAGAGCTGTTACATTTAAGTAAAGCTGAAAAATGTTTTCTGTTGTACTTTTCATCCTATATGTTAAAACTTTACCTGAATGTCTAAAAGACTGTTCATTTCATCAATTCACATATGACTACATTATCAGTGGAATACATGTGGTATTATTTGAATAATTTCCTCTTACTGTATTGGTTTATACTACTACACTATTCATTGACATGCCTTTCCTATATCTTCTTCTTTCAGCCTCTACAGGTAGTCTAAAGCAATGAATTAATTTTTTTTAATAACTAAACCATATTTTCCTTATACGTTTAAAAGCTAAGGATATCAGTAATAGAACAATATTAACATGAAACGGTAGACTGCGGTGTAGTCTTTTAAAGCGCTTCTAGTTAGATTTTTCTTTTCAGGTGACTAATTAGTGTTATCCCATCTTTGAAGTTTATTAACGTTTATTTCGGTCAAAAACTGTTAAAACACAGTTGTGATCTACAGCAGCATAAAGAGATACGGCCAACAACAGATTTTAATCTAAGAATTTCTAACTAAATTCCTAACCGATAATAGAAATACCAACTGATATAATATTAGGTGTTGATACAGTTTCCGGACGTTGATGCATCTGTGAATGGTTTTTCAGATCTTTAGAAGGAAAAAATACATGCTAGAAGATGAGTTTTATTGGCTAACATCTTAAATGTAGGCTTTCACAGCTTCTTCCATGAAATCTAACCACTTTCAGGTCCATCCGAATAAAATCTAATTTGAGAATACTCAAAAGTCAGATGACGGATCTACGTAAAATTTCTTAAATTTAAGCTGCTAACAGACCATAGTGTAAATTAACTTGATATCAAGCTACCTAACAGAAGTCTAGGCAATGATTTATTCACAATATTGTCCCCGTTTTTAATTTTTCATACATCCCAAGAATAATTCAAAATCTTACTGAGGGTGTTTTCAGTTCCATACAGTTTATATTTTCAAAAGTTGTTACTATTGTTATCACTATCGCTGATGTTATTATGAACAGATATTATTCAAATGATTTCAGAGAGTATAATTTGTCCAACTGTCACATATATATTAGTCATTTATGTATTCTTCAGTCATAGTGATAAAAACAATTTCTATAACAATAATAATAAAATTATTTAGCCGCTCAAAACGCTAGCAGCGAATGTGAGTTTCTAAAAATTTCCATTTAGCGAAAATTTGTTCTCTCAGTGACCCTTGATCAATAACTTTTGACAGTGTCATTCTCAAAATTATCCACGTATCTTAGGGATGATGTCGCTATATCTTTTAAACTGTAGTAAGCACATCTTTTGAAACTGTGTATCGGTCACCAAAAGATGCTGTGAGTAACATTTAAAGTAAAATGAAACCCAAAGTGTGTTATCTTAAATCACCAATAAGAAAAGCAAAAAAATGAGCAAAGAATATCCTTTTCGACAATTTCCTTTCCGCCTCTACAATTATATATATATATATATATATGTTTATAAACAGAATATTCTAGCACAGTCGTCAATAACAATATTGACATATTTAAATAATATCGATTTGTTAAGATCAATGGAATTACAGTTCACTAAGGATGCACAAATTATAAAAAGCATACAAATATAATAGCAAATACAATATCGAATAAAATTAAGGAAATTTCTACAAAAAATTGAGGTTCATTAGAACCTTGATGGCCAAGGTAGGGATAGTGCCTGAACCAGCTTCTTTTGGATACATAAGTTAGGTTTCCTAATGTGGATCCCAAAGACCTCAGCAATATGTAGTAGACGAACTCTTAAGGTGAAGTTAAGATTAGCTTGTATGCAGTAGATGACTTTGAAATCCGGATTACCGACGACCTGTTTAATAGACTTTGAAATCCTCTTTAACATCAGTCTTGTGTTCTATATCCACAAAATGAGTAAGAACAAAACTCTGAATGGATTTTGTTTGTCCTTAACTTAACCACGCAGTGTGATGTTCGGAAATTCGATGAGAAACACGCCTTATTGTACGGCCTATGTAACTTGCTCCACAGGAACAGTCCATCTGATAGATGCACATAGAAGAGGCAAATTAGGCAGTTTATCTTCTACTTCTGAACGCAAGATAGGGGTGATTTTTAAGACACAGCGTAATTCGGCAGCATTGATTGCTCTTTTTACCGCATTTCTAAGGCGTTGTGTTAATATCCCGCTAATGTTATCCCAGAGGAACTGAAGTTGTAAGAATAAGGCCTTTTTAGGAGCTTCTGGTACCTTGTATTGCCTTGATTTTTTATTGATATTCTTATCAATGAATTTTACTGGATAACCGTTCTCACCCAGCAACCATTTGATAATATTAAGTTCTGCATAAAGACATTCCTCAGAGCATATTGCTCTTGCTCTATGGACCAAGCAGTTTATCAGATTGCGTTTGTATTTCAGAGGCACGAAGCTGAAAAAATGAGTGTACTGCAATCAGTTAATGTCGGTTTTCTATATACACTTCTTTTTATTGTACCATTGTCTCCTCTGGTCATAAGGACGTCTAAAAATGAAGTACTAGAGTCTTTTTCTTTCTCAATGGTACAGTTTATTGCAGGATGAACATCGTTAAATTTTTCCAGGATGTTCTCTGCTTCATTGTCATTTTTCATAATCAAAAATGTGTCATCCATGTACCGACAGTAGAATTCTAGTTCATCAATTACATCTTTCAAAGGCCCATTCTCTAGTTTTGCAAGAAAAATATCGGCTAGATTGGGTCTTAGTGGCAACCGCATTGCCACACCGCCGATTTGTCTTTATAGTTCCTTATTAAATAAAAGTGAACATTCATTATGCATTTCCAGAGAAGCTATTTTATAAAAGATATAGGAATGCCAACACTGATGTTTCGTATTATGAGTTCTTCTCATCCAAAGTTCACTGCTTCCATAAGTGATACATTGGTGAATAAGGAAGATGCGTCAAATAATATCATGAATTTATTGTCAACATTTAAATCTTTTATCCTTTCAACAAATCTTTTACACTGTGTTTCACCAATTCTGTGTGTAGAGGCTGTATGAGTTCGACTAACCATTCGGCTATGGGATATGGTGAATTTAACATTTCTAATACTGGATGAAGCGGTAAACCACTTTTGGCGAACCATATAACTTGGTGTAAACGTTCCAGTGATGTATACTGACTTTGTGAGATAAAACCTTGTTTCAACTAACTGTTTCTTTATCTTTTTTAATCAGATCCAGAGAAGATGAGATTTTTCGGAATTTTAGATTGTCATTAAGAATAATATTTCCTTCTCGAAGTTATCCGCATTTTCATGATAACCACTCCAGAATACTTATATGGTCTTGTTATTACTATGTGATCATTTTTTCGGAGAATTTCTAGGACTTCTTTCTGTTTTTTGGTCTTAATACTATCCGAGTTGCGTTTACTATTTACATAATTATAGCAACAATCGACCAGAGTTGAATTACGTCTTTCAACAGCATAATGCCTTCGGTTTGAGTGTAGAGACATTCAAAATGAATTTGTGCACCCATTTTATTAATTTTGACACGACTACCACAAAATTTAGGGCCAAGCGATAAAACGTGTAGATCTACTTCATCAAGGACTACATCCGAAAAATTATATACATAACGACTTGGGTTCGGAGGAAATCTTGTTTCAGGTGTCTTGTTCTCCAAACTCTGTAACAGCTTAGTACGTTTCTTATCTTTCCTTCTACTCACAATTTCATCTACATAATCTAAAAAAAGTTTATTTTAGTGTTCTGGTAGTTCACATACAGCATAAAACCTTTCTGTGACATTCTTCGATAACTCAGTAATAGATGTTTGTATTGAGTCAATATTGTTATTGACGACTATTCTAGAATATTCTATGTATATAAACATATATATAATTGTACAGCCAGAAGAGGAAGCTATCAAAAGGATATTCTTTGCTCAATTTTTTGTTTCTCTAGATTTCTGAATGAGTTTTTTCTCTATATTGAAATCAATAAGAATGTGAGAAAATAAAAAGCCTTCTGTGGTATTAAACATATAACTATCTTTAAAAATTATTTCACAGGATAATTCACTAATTAATGTGTATTACAAAGGCAGTACACTTCATCATAAAAGTGATTCTGTGTTACTTAAACAAACTTCTATGGGCAAGTTCAATAAAGTGAATGAAAAATAAATAATCTACAGCTCATCTTCCATTGAATGTGGCTGGTAGGGTTACATAAAATCAGTCTATGTTTCGTCTGAAGGAACCCAAATATACATTTATCAGTCACGCAGCAATCTCACAGATACATCCATATCACGCAAAGGTTTTTTGATTTGGGGCCTTATATTTTAATTTTCCACTAGAATATTGATGAGTCTGTATTCATTTTCACATGTGAATCAGTTTTCACAAGATTTCTGAAACGATACTGCAAAGAACGCATTTATTTATTTAAGTTTGTAAAATGTTCACCATTTAACTTTAGATCTGATTTCATTAAACTTCCTTTTTGAATAAATTCAAACAATATATTATTTCATTTCCATAGATAGAGTGTAGTTTTCAGTTAATTTTATAAGCTTAAGAGGGGATATCTGCACGTTTATATGGGCTTAAAAGTAAAACATCTGAGGACAAATTCTGAAGTCCGTCATTATACTAGCGTTAATTCGCCTAATGTATGCGCGATGTTTGCATGATGAGGACAAATTTTAATGATAATTATCTCCTTTGAAAGGTATATTTGAAAAGATAATCTTAAAACTTGGTATATTTGATTAATCAGGTGTCGAGAAATTAGATTATAGAGTGAATTAGGATGTAAATGATATCAACACAAAATAAGATCAGTTTCAAAGTAAATACCTGTTTTCATAATCGACTTTATTCACAATACACACCACTGTTATTCAGAGGAAATTGAATAAATTCGTTTCTTGATTTAAGAAGGTAAAGGTAATCAGAAGGAAATCATGAAGGTTACCACAAAAAGATATTCAGGATCAAAATTGTAATGGTGCTTTAATCAGTCAATAAACGGTGAATAGTGGCATTTATCCATTTATGTTGGCTTCATTACTGTAGGAATGGAGTAAAATCTTGCACCTCAACCTCATAAATTCCCATTAACTACCGGGAAAATGTTTCTTCAGAGTAGAACAATTTACTATATTATTCATCCTTCAAGTAAACATTATGACATTCTTCAAACGTTGCAGCTGCTGTCCAGCACACTGCACTCACAGACGATAACAGCGCATTGTTTCTGTTTCTACTCAAATCTTGTTGTGACTGAATATTTCAGCGTAATAAGAAGGCGACAGTTGTTTATCATAATTCGGCAATTAAAATCAACATTAATTACTTATCGGTCATCAAAATAATGTGATTCAATTCATTTTGTTCATTTCTGTATCTTATGCGAATATTACACATAGTATACTATATACTGGAAAGTAACTAGATTAATTTACTCACATTCCTCCTGAACATGATTTAAGTTGGAGGGAAGGATAATAACGCATAAGAGTTGGCAAGAACCGAGTTGAAGTTTCCTGATGCTTTCAGTTTTCTTTTGATGCATTTCAGCAGTAGGGATTTAATATTCACACTTGACTTATTAGATATTATCCTTCATCTCCTTCAGAAAATTAAATCATTTACCTTATATCGAACAGTACTCATTCAAAAAGCAAACATATTCAGTGGTGACCCATTAATAAAGAATAACAGAAGATAAAGCCAAAAGTATGCGTGCATGATAAACATACGAACTTTTCAAGAATGTCTCAATCTAAATTAAGATTTACTTAATTGTCTGCAATTTTTCATTCCAGCCACCCCTACAAAAGTAACTCCGATTACTACACGTAAGTTCTACCAGTCTTCAATAAAAAGTTTTAATTGGTACAAATTAATTCCTATTTCGTATACGATATTATTGATTAGTGTAACTTGTGTTCATCGTAGTCCATTGATCGTTAAGTTCACTGTTACAACTCTATTACATATTGTAAGACACCATAATTAAATCTTAATCATTAAAAGAATTGTACATCGGTGGTTCAGCGGTAGAACACTCGCCAACCATGCATGTGGTCCACGGTTCGATCCCTGGCCGATGCATTCCTAAACCTCACTAAGCCGGTAGTAAGGCCGATAAAGAGAGAAGGTTAGTCGTGAGGCTAGAAACCCCATCCCCGTAAAAATAAAACCAATGCAACCGAAACCTCAAGACTCTAGCTTGAAGCCGTACGTTTCACTGGGGACGTAAAGGAATAAAATAAATATAGTAATAAATAGCTAGAAGAATTCTATCTGTAGGAAGCTATTCATTTCGACTTGGAAAATCAATGTTTACAATTATCTTACTACAGTTTAATTAAACCACTCATATCTTTTTAAGCGCTGCAGATTACTTATAATTTGACAAATGTATCAATATTGTGTGCTGGATAAAAATATTGTTTTCCGCTTTTAAGGTGATATTCTGACAAGCATAACAGATGTACTCCGAAATTAAGATCTCTCAGGTAACGTCGAATACATAGAAAATACATACTTACAAAATAGATGTACTAAGTAAGGTGCAAATTGATTTAAACGAAGTAATTGGAAATTTTAGAATTTTTGCAGTCGTCTCTCTACTACAAAATGTAAATTTTTTACCTCGCATCTGGCTTCCGCTGATACTCCAGCTGGCTGAATAGATTGAAGAGGATAATTTAATCATGCTTTTTAAATAGTCGTAAAACAAACTGGGCATCAGTGAGTTGACTCCTAACCAGATATCACTAAGGAGACAATAGGCTCAATAAGTCACCTCTGAATTGTGTCAGCTGAAGTCTACCTAGTACAATGATCGGTCACTTGTGTGTAAGCAGTCTTATGCGTCTAGTCACTAGAATGGGTGCAGAATGAAGTTCATTAGCCAAGTTTGCAATATGACTACAAGTTAGGCGTCTTGATATGACGGAGCACTTTGAATAGCTGTTAAGGGGTTTGAAGATATCCTCAGTACAGTACTGGGTGACAAGAGTTTGAGAATTCATAGGGTTAAATATGAGAATTCAACCATACCCTATTTAGCATTGGTATTATGTGGGGAAACTGATATCAGAAAAGAAATGACAAACCTATTTTATGATCTGTAAATAATCACCTACTTACTTCTATCAACCAACTATATATTATTATTACTTAAATTATTATCCTCATTAACTTCAGTTCTTGTATTTATCCGTTTTGGTTTCATACGTATAAGACGTCTAATTCTTGCAACATAAAAATGTTAAAAATGTCATTCTGCATAGAAAATTACTGTCCGTTCCTTCAAGGTTGCAGATACTTCTTGCTGACAAGCGTTCATAAACACGAGACCTTGGTCCTGGACTGACTCCAACCACCCAACAAGGATCAGGAAAATTGTATCATGGTCAATTAGTTGACTAGTATACAGTAGAAACACAAATTCCGAACTCAAGTATTAAGAAAGAATTCAGCCATTGGAAAACGACATTAAGAAGGTTTAATAGGAACACTAAATGGTCAGTAAAGACGTCAGCGGATATGATAGAGATGAGTTGGGATATTCATTATGTACTGTTTTGTACTTACATTGAATGACGTGGTCATGACATCTATTGCAAATGTCTAACTATGGACTACTCTGAAATGCTTTAGCAAAAAGATAGCCTAACTTGGATTGAAATGAATGATGCTCCTACCAAAATATGATATCGGTTGAATAAATCATTAAATATCAATGAATAGTATTTCGAGTGGTTTAATTCTCTTCATCGATTCCTTGAATCTCTGACAGAAATATGCAGCGTGACAAACTAGCGTATAGATATACAGATATTTAATAATCTTCAAAGTCTGAGAGTTTTCATAGGATAACGAAGACAAAATGTCAATTGAACATCACGGATCATGTACGCTATTTTAATTTCTTCACTGGCTTACAAGCTGATAAATTCAGTAAATTTGAATAAACTGAGCACTGACATATTTGGTAACACAGTAAGTAAAGTAAATTATTCAAAGCTTAGTAGTATGTCACCTACTGAATACAGGATATGACACGAACACTGAAATTATAATCAGCATTATTATTGATAAACAATGCAAATTTGATTCTGGTATTCGGTTGGACGACATACGAAAAAACATCTATTCCATTCAATCATGCGTTCTCGAGATAGAACGAAATGTCTACTCAAGAGCTCATGGAGTCGAAGTTTAGATCAAGAACTACGCCATTCTTTCGGCGAATATGTACAACAATACAAATTTTATCAATTTCAATTTTGAGAGACTACTTCAATTAAGTAGTTAAAAATACATACTCATATTCGGGAGAAAATAAGTCTTAAATGCATTCTAAACACAGTAAACGCCCATATTCTCACTTTTTTAGTTTGCTATCTTAAACATGTATATATTGTAAATAGCTCTATAAACCGCGTTGGTATCAATTGTATGTTCAGAATTGACAAGATGTACCAGAAGTATGATGAAACTTCTGCTGTCTGAACATGAAGGATGATGTTTGGAAGTATAACGATCAACATGCCTGATATTAAAGGTAATGAAACTAGCTTGAGAAGAGAGCTTGACCTGGTAGAAACAAAAAAAGCAGGAACTAGCAAGTTTATCTTTGTTGAGTGAATTTAATAGACAGTATAACACTTCTACATTAAATATTATTTACGGGCACTTCTCGAAAACTGTTAAAAATGTAATATCAACACAAAACTGTAGTTTACGGAGATTGATGTTAACATGCCGATTTTCTAAATCGCTGATTTACTTTATGAATATATGAGCTATCGAATGGTTATCTCAGTATAGTTCATTACCATCTGATTTGACATAATGATGCTTGTAAATTCTGATTAACACAATTATTATCACCATAGTTCGTTGTCAAAGACAGGAAATAAACGTTTGGTTTGACTAACAAGACTGTCAAATTCTAATTCTGTATGAAAACAGAGATTTTCTTAGAATTCGAAAGTCTCGCTAGTCAAACAGAAGACTTAGTTGCGGTCTGTGACGAAGAACTACAACATTTTAAATCAGTTGTCCTCGACTGATGTCTAAAATTTAGAAATTCAAAGCAGGAATTATCATCAACTGATTAGCGAATTATGTATTATCTTAATTCAAATGATACTGATGAGTAAAGAGCCATTGACGAAGCAGTAACTGAAATTAAAAATTTATTATCATCTCATTTCATTACTTTGTTATCAATAATTGATCTTATTAGCTTGTATAAATATGATATGAATACAGTAAAATATAACAAATTCAGGTTATTTATTTACTTTATCTTGTTCAATCTCGTCAGAGGAAATCGAATGTATGGGAAAACACTGTGCATTACATGTTAGATGTGTTGATTTAATGAAATGTGCGGTCTGCTTTGAATAGTTCACTATCTGGTGAAACATTAGGACTTCTTAAATCTTACTGAATGTTTTATGTATCCTTTGCATAATTCAGACCATGCAACCAACGATTCACCGTCTACTCCCATTATTCATATCAGCGTAAACACCCTTATCGTGTTTATTTTTAAATATTAACAGAGAAGACATCGGCTAGCGGTTGCGTTATATCGTGAATTATCAGAAGTTAGAATTCATGGGCCATTGGATCGGGTCCCAGTGGCTTAATGGTATACGAGCTCGCTAGCCTTGTAACCAGAAGGTCCTGGGTTCGAACCCGGGTGGGTGCGTACTGATGAAGAGTCCCAAACTAGGACGAAACAGCTGGGCAGTACTCCCAGGTTTTCCAACGGTTCCCTAACCAATGTCAGCTCATGATGAACTCCTGTAACCTATTGACAGAATTCCCTAAGTCACCTGTGCGATTTGACCACCAGACTAAGAAATTTGTCTCTGCAACATACTTTGACTGAGCTTCAACATTCAAATGCAACTAGCTTAAATTTTCGGTCTTTTATTGTGTTTCTTTCACGATCGTCATTAAGGTGCACCTGAAACCTCTAAAGAAACGATGCGATGTTAGAAACTGAAATACCAACCACTAATAACTACACTACCACTGAGGGGCTCATTACATAAAATTCAGTATTAAACAAGTTCACTATGTATCACGGCACCTTTGTAAAGTATGTTTACCTGCAATTAAATGTAAACTATCGAAAATTCCAAATGCTGGATTCTATTTTAGCCTCTTCCTTTCACTACATCAGAATTCCAAGCTAGGAACGATGAGTATTTATTACAGATAAATATTTAAAACTGAAACAAATAACCAGCCTTCTTGTTACCATTACAACGTAGGTACAGTAACGGAACAAAAGAGAAGTGAGTTGTTCTTTTTACTTCACTTTACTTATCGTTTAATCACAAAAATAGACTACACACTAAATGATGATATTCCTCTTAAATATAATATTTTTTTATTATATTAGTGGAACATTTCATATTATCTTAGGAAACCGAGTTGTCTGAAGCATATATTTGCACAGATGGTGAAGACAGATGGCAGAGAACTTACATAATCTGAATTTCATGATTTCCAGCACTCATCAAAGGCTTATTAAAAACTTGAAAAATACAGAAGTCAGATTTGAATTTCGAAAATCAGATGTGTAAACTTGGAACGAGATATGAGGATATAAGCCACATTTACCATGCGGTGACTGATTATAATACCCATTCATCCAGCTTGAATAAAGTAGAGTGAGATTCAAACTCTGGATTTATCTCCTGAAAGTCAGGTGCTAAAGCCAGTAACCTCCTGGAAGATACATTTATGTAGAGAAATCCATTACCTAGAAATTCCTCTATCAAGAGAGAAATCTCTTGATCGTAAATGTAGTATTTCTACTCATTTTAATGACCTCATGCTGAGGATAAGACTTAAAGGTTTGTCAATAAAACATGAGCAGAATTCACGGAAAATTTCATTGGGATCTGAAACGATTTAAGACATCGCTGGAAACCAAAGCCGCAAAACAACAGACTTCACACATTTAGTGACGCTTCAGTTATGAGAAGACACTGTTCCAAAAAAGGTAGAAACTACACTCCTCAGAATACGAAACTAGAAACCTACCATATATCGACGGTTGACAGTTTGTGCTAACTCAATATACACTAGCTTTACCAGCCAACGTCAGTGGTGAGCATCTTTTCTCAAATTCACATTGGTGGATCTCACCAGTCACAAACTCTTCCCAAAACTTCGGGAAACCCACATTTAAACCAGTCATTAGGGGATAGTGAATTCCAATTAGGTTTCACACACGAATTCCCCCTTATTTGAACAAAGATAGAACCAACATTGATGCAGAATAATATAAACCCATCTTATTACGTCAGTTCTCATCAGCTGCGTACTTGGTATCTCTACACGACAAAGAGGTACACCGATGCTTTCAACTGATAGACTTGGTTGACAATACAGTGTGGAAGAGTAGACGCGCAGACACATCCACTCCTTGTGACTTTTAATTTCCAATGAAACTATGTTGTTCTTCGTTATAACTATTCCTTATATGTCTCATATCCCTGTCTACTGTCGCTATTTTTCATTTCGTCTCTTGCTTTGTGTGCTACATGAAGTGTGGCGACTTGAACTGCTGCACATCGGTGCAAGGTTCTATGTTGAAAACAGACAGACAGGCAGATATCCAGTTTGATTGCTTGATATCTGTAGTGGACACATTTTATGAACAATAAAATCACCTTGTTATATGTATGTTTATTTCGGCAGAATTTCCAATTATTAAATTTTGTAAGTTTCATTTGGAAGATGTTGTTAATTTATTTAGTCCTTTTACAGACCATATAGCAGTATCGTGATAACTCCACGATGACATTCATTAGATGATTGATAGTTGATCTCTATTGATTGCTACACGTTATGTTTTTTTTTGCTGCACCGTTACAAAAATTTACTTTTTGATATCGACATAGGTCACCACTATACCGTGCTATCTTTTAGAGTGACTTTAGAAGATCAGGAACCCCATTTAACTGTCAAGATTTCCTAGCACACTTTGCTTCTGCTGTATGTACTCTTTGAGTTCGTAAATACAGCAAGTGTCATGCAGTGTCAGACTAGTAATGATGCGAAGGAGAATCTGGAGGTTGGTAAATATATTGTTCGACACTATTTAACTGGTACAACAATCAAATAGTGATACTCAAATAATAGAGATTACCTGCCTTCATCTAAATCATCTGTCTAACAAATTAAACTAAAATTGACAATGAGACAAATTTCCATGAAGTTATTCATTATCTCATTTTGTAGATTGGTCAATAGTTTTCTTTAATTCCTTCAATTCAGGGTGGAGCATAAGACTTTGTAATTGAAATTTCAAAAGCGGTGGTGTTATATTTACAGGATGGGATTGTTAGCCTTACGCCCAACCTTCTCTATTATCCAGGTTTATCACTGTCTATCCCAGACCACCTGCGTGGATTCTATCATTAAACCACCGACGCACAAGTACTACCAAGAGAGAAACGATGTCTCACTCTAGGATCCGTACCTACTCTACCCACTGCTGTAGTCAGAAACATTACAACTGAGCTATTCCGGCATTGACCATCAGTATTACTACGTATGGCCTGAAGATTCCAGCATCAAAAGATTGTTTATTGGAGTATATTTTAAATAGAAAGCTTACTGTTTTTAAAAAAATTTTAACTTTTAATCGGATTAACCATATGTGTACTATTTTAGTTTGGAATGATGGTAAGCTTTTAAATGCTTCATGTACTGATGCAATTTACTCATAAAGATGCTTGAATGATTATACATCCAATCGGCCTAACTGCTTATTCGTCCACATTAGTTTATCTTATTCCACCACACAGTATTCGATTTATGATTTCAAACACCTAGCAAATGAATAAGGATCTATGTATTGTGCTGTAACTCTCTGTAACGCACAAACATATACAATACTGTCTGTTTGGTTTCCCAAAAGAGAAGTAGAAGTGTATTTTATCTGAAGATCCGATAACTGACAGTCTAGTACTACATTCGGTGAGCAACAGATGAACAGCCATAGGGTTGTATAAATGACAACCAGCCTATGTTGCACTATTCGATTCGAAAACCCTTTATTTATGTAGATATGTAATTGATGCATGACTAATCTCATCAACAGAATTTGGTAACGGGAGGTAGATTCTATTGAAGGTTTTCCTAGATAGAGAAATTTGTTTTATCTATTGGAGCAATAAGTTCAATCCCAACTTCAAATTTTGGCTAACTTAACGAGTAAGTAAATCGTCAATTAGCGACGCCTATTACAGGTTTCAAAAATATTGATTATTGAAAGAATATCCTTTTCGAGAACTTCACCATCAGGTTATACATCCATAATAGCAAAAACTAATTGGTATCGACAACAGCAAGATGGAATCACTGACATCGAAATTCCAAGAGGTATAAGTAAATAGATTACGATTGAAAACATGCATAAAAATAACACTAAATTGTACATCAGATTTCAAAAGTAAATAATCATTGATTCCACCAAATTCATAGTAATGAATAATTATACTTATTGTCCACATTGAATTTTATTCAGCCTGATAACCAACTTCATATAAATGACAGGTGATATCAAATCCTGGAACGTTAAAATTGCTCGGAAAATCTCTCCTGCACGATCTAATCACAATATTTATACTTATTTGGATTTTTCACCTAATTTTGTAATTATTATCCGTTTTTCTCCTAGAATGTATTTCATTATTTTGATATTGGTATAACACATGTTTACCTTATCCTTCTTATTTGTCTTTGTCCCTGTTTAATCTCTAATTTTAAAGCTTTTCTTTATGGTCGTGTGATGATATGTGTTGTTTTACAATGTAATTTTGAGTGAATCAAAGTCATTCTGGTCTTCGACTGTCTGTGGGAAGCGTTAGTGTGTTATCCTTGTACACAGAATATTGATCCTACCTTGTTGGGAATATTTTACTTGTTTCTAAGTTCTTGTTTTGTACCTAGACTGGATTGCATAGCTGCCTAACGGCACTACTGACGTAATCTTGAGTTTTTGATGTTAATATTTAATAAAACCACAGATTCCAGCAACGAATAATCGTCTTTTCTGTCTTTGGAGTGTTTTGTGACTGTGTGCGTTTCAAGGAAGTATTGTCAGCTATACAGTAGAACGTAGAGATCGGTTTCCTGCGTTCAGACTATAACGAGTCGGTTTTGATCGTAACAAAAACAGGGAGTGAAAACTTGCCACCGTAATTTTATTGTTACTCACGATCACTTCTGAAATCTGATTTTCAAATTCAGTGTTATTTTTATGCATATTGAACATAACATTCATAATGGATAAGATTTTATTTTGATAAATCACAGTGTTGTGCAGTTATATTAACTGATGACGTTTCGAACACAAACTATTGCTCATAATCATATCAACGTCATCAGTTAATATAACTGTATAACACTGTGTGATTTATCAAAATAAAATCTTATCCATTATGGAGTTATACTCTACCACAGTGCCCAAGTTTTATACTTATATCAATGAACATAACATTGGTGTTCAAAGAAAATAAAACATTACGAATGCATATGATATTACAAGAAACATAACACAGGTCTAATTGCGCAGCCAAGTTCCTACTGCTGAAGAACCTCAAGCTTATATTGGAGAAAACTAACGTTGTTTTTACATGATAATGGAATATAGAAGAGTCTACCTTGAAGTAGATAATATCCCTAAGAATGTAGCATTAATGTTTTCAGTTAAAATGATTATTACTGATTGTTATTTTGCATTGTTTCCTACTAAAATTATCATGTATTTGTTCACATTATTAAAATCCTTATTTTCTAAGCTCACATGAATCTCTATCCTTGTTTTTTCTTCCAGCTACATCAGTATCTCAAACAAAATGGAGTTCAATGTGGTCAATTGTTATAACATCAATTTTATACTTAGGACTATCAAAGCAATAATTATAAATAATGACAAGGAATATTTACAGACTGATTTATTAAATATCTTCTGGTCAAAGTGATTCACCTAATACCAGTTCTCAATAAATGCGTTGGAATATCTTTGTATTTTTAAAATATTAATTAAAGATAATGTCTAATCATATTTAGTTAATATGAACAATACCATACAATGGCAATGAACAAAGTCAGTTCTACATCCCATTTTATACTTATTAGAAGACGTGTACTCTAAATACGATTAGCAATATAAAATGAGGTAAGCGGAGGTACAAATTAAGAAACTTTGTCTTTATTGTATCCAGACAGAATCAACTGCAAAACAGAAAAAAAGTACAAAACTACACACTATTGATTAATTGAGATGAGTAGTTGGATTTCACTCAAATCAATCAGTGGTGCTTGTTAATTAATTTGCAAATTGAGAATTTGATTTCAGAAAAAAGTGGCTTCAACACAGACACTATATTCGTAAAAATGTCTTAGTAACGAATTTACACAAATCCCATTACAGGATTGCTTTGAATAAGGTCACTGGTAGCAACTGACATTGATAATCTACAAGTGTGTGCTTTATGAAAAGGGAGAACTCATATTTCTATACGTCCGCACTTGTAAAGGCGCCTTTATGTAAGACAAAAAGCTTTGAGTTATTTGGCCATATATTTACGTATCAAATCCATACAATCTTCAATTAAGATAATCAATTGAATACACACTCAAGTAGGCCCAGATTCAATTAAAACTTAGAATATGTAGTAAGTGACTGATGCATAAATAAAGTAAATCTGATGCATAACTAATTCCTGAGAGTCACTCAAATTTTGTATTTCTTGGTTTTTTCCTTACACCTTCGTAGGATATCACGCTTGTAAGGCTAAGGGTAGGCAAAGTACAATGCCTCATCCCTTTAATCACAACTAGAAAGAATTGTATAAGTATCAAAGTATGAATCTTCTATACGCATAATTCCCCTATGAATGCCACAAGAAAAAACAAGCTGAAAGTCAGACAGAAACGACAGCTTAATATTCCGTTATGCAATGGATAGAAATCCAATGGTTGACATACGATGTTAGATACACAGGTCATTACATTTCAAAACGAGAACTAATAGGATAAAAACACCGCTTCAATAATGGGGATTTAGTACTCAGAAATGATAGGAAATTCCCTTTTCTTGAGAGAATTTACCTATTCAGAAACTATTACATTATTCTGCAATGCACAATTAAGATAGCTAAATCTGCCGACTGGAACCATTTACTCTTATTTGAGATATTTCATGCTAGAATGTTGGTATAAACTAATTGCATACAATACAGTAATGTATTATAAATCCTAAATGCGCTGACTAACAAACAAATCAACACATAACCTTAGGCCAAAGTGCATCAGTTCAAGTTACCAAAAATCAAAAGGGCACAAAATGTGAAGATCAATGAGCTTTTCACGATCTGCAGGGGGGAGGAGAGAAAAGGAGTAAATATCATTGCCACTAAAAACAAGTTTTAGCTATGCCACCAAAAGTCTCAACAGATTTATTTTTAGCTTCTCAAGAACGGCAGCCACAAAATCTGCATCTCACGACCTGTCTTGTACAAAGAATTATAAACTATAATGGACCGGTGTCAAGATCCAGTGTAACCACTTCAAGGTTTCTTCAGTATAATCATAACTCTGAGAACCTGAATCTCAAAAATCCTGATGATAATGCATTTTGTAACAAAACTATTTAGATCTCCAATATTCTCTACGTTTTGTAAAGATTTATAAACAATGTTCAGCCTGTTACTTTTGTCATAACTAGATGTAATCAATCACTTAACGAGGAGAAAATTACCTAAATGAAATTTTACAAGTCAAGAAATATAATGACTACTCAGAATTTAAAATATTACAGTAAAAAGTCTACTGAATTCAAAGTAGACAGTCACACAATTTCTTTTCTCAGTAAATTAATACAAAACAAACACAATCGTTAAAAAAGGAAGAAATCAAAGGAAAAATTTCCACACATCAGGATAGAAAAGATAAAGGGAGAGGCTGAATATTTTCCATTTTTCAACAACACTGAAAACTCTATAATCCTCAAAATAATACAGTGGAAAGACATGGTTTAAACATAAAGAAGGTGAATATAAGTGAAATTTTATAAATTAAGGGGAAATACCATTATGAATAGCCTTCTTAGTTTGATCTGGTTTACTGATTTACAATAATATTTTTATTGACTGCTTCATTTATCAGTTGATCGAGAGTCCTGTTTTCCAAAACAAGAAAAATCCAGACGAAAAAGAGAAAACAAAACGCACATACGTTAAAACTTAAGAAAACCATCTAAACAAAAGTACAAATACATAAATGCGTGATAAATCCATTAGAACAAGACATATAAGCGAACAATATTGTTTTCAATTAGATCTTCTTCAGGCTTTACTCTAATTTACATAGATTTATATATAAAATTTTAACCAATGACGGTGATTTTGGGAATCAAATAATAATCTTAATAGTCTTAATAATAGTAATAATAATAATGATAATAATAATAATAATGTGGTAAATGTTTTGAACATAGTTAATAACGATGATTATAATGATAACAAAATATTGATAATAAGGTTTATGCAGGTGATAAGAATAACAAAGATAGTATATGTATATAATTCCCATTTAAAATATTAGAACAAGACTTATAAGCGAACAATATTGTTTTCAATTAGATCTTCTTCAGGCTTTACTCTAATTTACATAGATTTATACATAAAATTTTAACCAATGACGTTGATTTTGGGAATCAAATAATAATCTTAATAGTCTTAATAATACTCATAATAATAATAATCATAAGCCTGAAGAAGATCTAATTGAAAACAATATTGTTCGCTTATATGTCTTGTTCTAATATTTTAAATGGGAATATTTAAAGATATAAATCCATTATTCAAGCTGTTCAAAATGGAAATGGACTATTTGGGTTGAATTCTATTGATACAATAGTTCTAAACTGCTCATCTATATACTTGAAATGTTTATTTTAATATTCAGCTGTTAATTGGCAGGAATTTGATTTCAAGTTTGATCAGAAAATGACTTCAATTAGAGAACCGATGAAAGCCAGGGAGTACCAAAAGCAGGTTTCGTCTTTGTTTCAGACTCCTCATCAGTATCTACCCAGGACGCTTAGGCTACAAGGAGAACTCGTATACCGTTCAGTCTGTGGGATCGAATCCAATGGCCCATCGATTCTAAGTTCCTGCAATTCACGAACTATACCGCAACTTCCAGCCAATGCCATCGGTGATTGTCTGTTGTCGCATTCAAACTTGAAATTAATTAAATCCCTGTACACCAACACTGGAGAATTAATCTAGTGCTCATTAGGGACTGACTACAGAATGAAATTGCCTGGAGTTCTAGTGTGCAGTCTTGACCATCAGGGTTATTCAATTTGGATGTGAGGACGAACAATCGTCGATGACGTTGGCTGGGGGCCACACTATATATCGCGGGTCGGCAGAACTTGGTAATGATGGATCATTGGATCCCATCCCAATGGCCGAAGGAGCAGCAAACTCACCTTTCTTCTAGCCTGAAGGTAATGATTTCAATCCGTCATGTAAATATATATATATATATATATATTTACATGAATGAAATTATCTTAGAATACTAAACATTCTTAGTTGGCCATATGATTGCACCTAATATTTCCGACGTTCCTACTTTGCAACTTCACACCCACGTAAAAGGGCATAAGACTAATGAATAAAAGAAACCAATACAACCCAAAGTTATCGAAAGTTTCAAAATACCAAGCGAACGATGAATGCACTATTGTCGATTAATACCCAGAAGTTCTTAACATTCGGTTTCCACGAATTCTAAGCTTAAAACAATAATCAGAAACTTCATTTATTGACGTGGTTCCTGTTTGGCTACTAACAGTCTTCTTCAACTTACATAGAGATTTTGCATGAACCATTAATGAAATGAGATGCTACTCAACAACCACTTGTAATTTCATGAAGTTGGATATGAGCCATAGCTATATTGTTTGATACTATCTTACTGTCCAAACCTCGATAGATGCAGCGGAGTTCGAATTCATGATCTATCGATTGGATGCTGAGCTCCTAAACCAAAGAGCCACAGCTCCACGCATAAACAGTAATATACCCCAGTCACATCAGTCAAAAAAGGTTTACGGTTTTATTAAGTAACAGTTTCAGCACGTAAACGATGTTAGGGAGATAAAGGTAATCAAACATAAGTAACTGTTGAAAATCGACCAACTTCAATGAACACCACATATTTCATTGTTTATTAAAACTTAGTCATACTGCTATCTGTTCTCTATAATATGTGGCTATCCCTGAGCATCACGTACACTAACAATGGTTAAATAACACTTATTTAAGTCTGTATAACTGCTCAAAGTTATTAACAGTAACAGCTATCGTCATTACTAATGCACATTGAACCCATTGGGTTTCTAAGATATTTTTTTAAGTTTTGTGAAGACATACACATAAGTATAGTAGGTGTACATAGAGCGGCAGTTGGTAAAAATCTGTTGTCAAGTCAATGGCCTGCCACTTGAATGGACTATTTGGGCCAAGTTATCCGGAATGGATTTTTCATATATCAGGTTATGATTCACACTCATTGTGTGAGGGGTGATGATACTTACTACCGAGTTTCTCAGACTGAATTACGTGGAGCAGGACAGGAGTCCGGGACCTACTTGCTGCAGATTGCTTAGAACAATGAGCAACGCTTGATGCGTAATGAAAGATGAATCACTGGTGTACAGACAGAATGTACTAAATCGATTGACATACCTATACATTCGCGAAAAAACAAATAAACCAATTAGAGCAAACATGTACAACACCAAGGAAATCAAAAAGAAGCAGAAAGGATTACTCACATGCGTAGCTGAATCGCTCTCAGACGTTCTGCTTCAAATTTGTCAACAATCGCATGTGCCATAACTCGTGGTAATTTCCAAAGTCCAACATGAGTACCAACCAATTGTTGTTGATATAATTCTTCCCAAACATCCTATGAAAACAGTACAAGTCATATACAATCATTACGATTAGAACAAAAATATTGTTAGAGATTAACTTCAATCTGTTACTGAGGCATACAACTTAAGTGAAGTACACAAAAAAAGCTATGGAGTCACTGAGTACTAACTTGAACCAAGTAGATAGGTATAGGTTGCCTGATGTGGTGCGCTGGGACACTAAGAATCAATGGTTGCAAATGGTTCGAAATAGTCCGCAATAACGCAATTGCAACAACCCTTAGTGATATATCAAAATTTCGGAAATCCTTACTGATTTTCAGCAACTTGTTACTTCATCCATACACTTCTGTGTACTGTTGTTTCATTACATCTCCTGCTTCTAATTCTATGTGTGCTTTTCCGGCATACTTATCCAAAGTTCTATGCAAATATATCGGTTCAGTTTAGTATCTGCTAAAAATTTTTATATCACAAGAGAGAGGGGACTAGAAACCAGTCATTTTAAGTTGTCTTAAAAGTTTTGTACTCTATATCAATGCTTCACTTAAATAATTATGTGACGTATGCTATAGGGATGCAGATTGATAGGAAACGACCAAAAATTGAAATAAACATTTTAAATCAATGGCTGCAGAGAAAGAAGTGCTTATTCCTCAAATCTGGATTCAGTTTACGTCGTGGTCAGGAAATAATCTCATTGGTGGGTGGTGTTATGAAGTGTGACAATATAAATTCCACACTGCCTGTCTTAATTTAGGTAATAAGAGTAAGAGGTCATCTTCACACAGATAAAAACACAAGAGCCAACTACTTCAATCATCATTCTCTTGTTGATAGACTGACAAATTCATCACAGATATACACCACTTACTACTTGAAAAAAAAGATTTACAAAAGCCAAACAAATTTTTATATACATATACGTGAAATATGACGGCGTAAAACTTAACTAACCAATGCTTGTGCAGCTAAACATGGCCAACAGGCGTAACAACCATCCGTGGATAATGATTGAAAATTACCATCTTTTGGACCGGAATAAAATGGATTTCGAAAACGACCAATCACATTCTGCTGATTTATGTATGACCTAGAGGTTGAAAATAATACTAGTTTGTGTTGATACTATCGACACACTTAACAGTGGACATTTGTAAAAACTTTAGAGTTCTGAGATGTCGTCACAGATTGAAATTTACGCTACTCACTGAAACAATTTGAAAAAAAGCGAGCCGATCGACATCGTCTGCAAACATAAATAACAACAGCTAACCTAACAATACCTAGATGAAAGGAATTATTGAAATGTGATTACAACCAAGTATGGTATAATAAGCGTCACCGGTTCAGAGATAGAATACCCGCCTGAGGTTTGATCTCCGACAGACTCACCCCTAAAACTCGCTTAGCCGGTAATAAACCCGACAAAGAGGGAAGGTTATGTGTGAGGCTAGCAACCACACTTTGTAAGAAAAACACCAATGCTACTGAAACTTCAAAGCCCGAGCTTGAAGCCCTACGTTTCACTAGGAACGCAAAGGAATAAAAAAAATGGTACAATAAAAAGTCGTTTGATGTTGGCTAAACCAAACTGTTTTATTGAATCTCTGACCAGAAAGAGGCTGTTTAGTATAAGAAAAGAAAAACTGAAGCCTTGTAAGTAAAAATGAGGCGCAGAATTTGAGTAGTACAGTAGTACAGAAACTAATTAATTTAAATACGTAAATGTGACGAACAATTACTTCAGTAACTTGCATATATTGAGTGTCAAACTCTACTTGCTTTCAGTTGTTGTAACCACGCAATATGTCTTGAATAATGCTGATCAAAAACTGATAACGTCAGTCGATCTTGTCGTATTCCGTTATAAGTTATTATAACAATTAAGTAGCACAGTGAACCAATGTACATTAGTCCAACATACTTGTCATTGAATGCAACAATCATAAATTTAATTTCACACATGGTCGCTAGTTCATTTCCTTCCAAAAATCCGAAAAGCACAACAGAGTATCCCGAAGACTGGTCAGCTAGTTTCTGTTCTAATACTAATCAATTCTGTACATACGGACCGCGACTGCGAAAACTGGAATCAGTGAAGTCAATAAACCAGAAACAAATTATAACAAGATTGAAGAAAGAAAAACCAAACTCACCACAGAGAAACAGTTTTCGATGAGATATCAAGTTGCTCTCTTTCTTGTGGTGAATTTCCTAAAAATGTACCTTGAAAAAGAGTATGAGAAAACTACTCTTAATGCACCATTTTAAATAAATATGAAATAATATATAAATTATAGTAAACGGTACAAATCAAAGCGGCTCCGTACACCCAATTCATTACCTATTTTCTGTAGAGGAACAGTAACTACGGATACAAAACTCCTAAGTTGATGATTCTATGATATTCCGATGTATTAGACCAAAAATCTTCTTGAGTTAGGTTATTTTCAATCATCTCAAGTTAGGCATAAAGTTTAGAATTCAAGCTTTACAAACACACTCTTCAAATGACTAATCCCATATGATTAATCTGTAAAGATCTAATTTTAAAAATCTCTTCTAGTCCTTAATCATCACTATTCAGAGCGTTTAGTTAACCTTATTTTGATTATTGAAATAAAAAGTTTCTCGATTCATTTAGCAAAAGTGTATTATACAGCATAGTACAGTACCCTATAACGGTGGTGTTTTACGGTGCAACGTACGCCAATACGAAGTTGAAAATTGAAATTCCAAATACTTACACAAAACACATGAATATACGTTGAAATCAACACCCAAAAATAACTTACCGAATTCCGAAAAATAGGCATGTTTCGCCAATTCACAAAGTAATTCATCAGTAAATTCAAAAGCATTCGGGTACTGACGAAGTAACTGTAAATAAAAAGTAGTTCACTCTGAACTAAATAAACTCACAAAAATCGGAAAGATATATGTCTGGAGAAGTACTGAACAACTTGGAATTAAATGCGATTGGAGATGAGTTACACCTGTTGTGTGACTGACTATGTTGAAACCAGTCAGTCAGTTGTGTGACGACTAGTGACACTGCCCAAACCTCGGTAGGCGACGCGAGGTTTGAAACCGTGACCCAATAACTGAAAATCAAGCGCCTAAACCAATAAGCCACAGTTTCACTAGACATATTTGAAGAGATTTTACACTAGGAAACAAATTTACAATCTCCTTACAAAGCTGTTTTTTAAAGATATTTTTCAAGCCTTTGCAGGGATTTGATCTATTTCAAATTTGATCACGGACTGACATCAGCTAGAGAACCACTGAAAACTACGGAGTACTGGACAGTTTCGTCCTGGTTTGGGACTCACTGTCACTACGCACTACCGGGTTTCGAATCCAGGATTCCCTGATTTTTAATAGTTCTCTAACTGATATCAATTCCTAACCAAACTTGAAACAAATCCCCACAAACAAACCCTTGAAAATTAATATAATGCCCGCCAGTGATTGGCTGTAGGACGAAGTTTTCTGGAGTTCTAGTGAGAAGTCCTGATCAGCCGAGTCCATCCGGTCAGGAGTGAGGACAAATACTCCGATGACATTGGCTGGTGGTCGCACGACAATCACGAACCGATACATGTTAGAATTCATAGGCTGGCCATTGAGTCAGTTTTCAGTGGCTCAATGATCCACAAGCTTACCTTATAGCCGGAAGGTACTGGGTTCGAACCCTGGCGGTGAGTGCGTACTGCCGATTAGTCCCAAACTGGGCTGTTCAATGGTTCTCTTACTGATATGAATCCGTGATCAAACCTGAAAGATATTTTACCTTACTATCAAAATGATACATATAGTTTAGAAACAGCAGAATGTTGGCTGGCATACAACACCATGTTTTTATCCGTCTTAAATTAACTACTTTACTTTTGTGAATTATTTTACGCCATTATCTGGTAATTTACTTGTTTGCGAAGTACGAAACAACAAACCACAGGGAAAACTCCGATATCTCTCTCGGTCCCTTGATTCGTTACCATTTTTCATTTTTAACTGCACTGTTTGCTTTGATCAGCTTCACATCTTTCAGAAACTTCAACTTTGACACCAGTTCGTTATTGTTTGAAGTCTCAATCCATTTGTACTTTTCTGAGCTGCCAGTTAGTTACCTTCACAGAGGTGGTCTCCAGTGTGTTATACAACGCAGCTGTAATGCTACTGGATGTCGCATTCAAGTCTCTCAGTTACAACGCTAGCACACGGATGCCATAGTTTTACCTGACAGCCTTCCTCTGTTACTCAAACCATGGACTTTACATGGATGTATGTAGGACTGCAGCTCCTTCTGAAACACTTGAATAGATTCAGACAAAACTTTGGTGTTACTTTTTGTCATATGATTCCATGGTCATCATAAACGTCGTAGTAAACAGGTGTTGTGAAGTTTGTAAACATCCTGAAAGCCTTACACAAAAATGAATCAAAAAAGGTCACCTTCAACTGGTTGAACAGTTCCGACCTTTTGCAAGGCTCATACATCAGTGATTCAATGATAGAATGTTCACCAGCTACGCAAATGGCCCGGATTCCATCCCTGGTCAGCGCACTCCTACACTTCTCTTAGTTTACTAACCGGTAGTAATCCTGGAAGCTCAACGTGAGGTTAGCAACGAAACCCAGTAAAAACAACACCGTAGCTACTGAGACTCTGAGCTTGAAGCCCTATGTTCCACTAAGAAAGTAAAGGAATAAACAAAGAAACAACTTGAAGGGATTAACTACTAATCACTCTGTCTGAAAGTTTTGAACTCTAACTAATATGAGGTTGATTTCAAATTTCTAAAGGTTTTCCTTAGAACTACATCAATGATAAAAACTGTCTACGGTAAATCTTATACAGAAAGACGAAGCATTATAAAAACCTGGTAAATTATTGAAAAATGAATTTTCGCTAGAATAGAAAAACGCACCTACTTGCCAAACACAATCCAAAAAGAGAATAAACACTGGACTTTCATCTCTGGGTGGTTCAAGGGAGAAAGCTGAGTTCCGGCAACGATCTGCAAATGGGTGACCTGAATTTATCCAAGTATGGTCGATCAGTGTTTGAAATCTACCATACATTGTGCGGAAGATTATACAACGAAAAAAAGATAACAAAAAACGACCACTATACATAGAAGCACTTATTACAATCACAAATGTTATCGGTTAGTAGAAAAAAATTAAGTTGTTCAGATGGAGCTAAGACGTAAAATCTGCAGAACAAGTTGCCAAAATCAGAAAACACTGGACAGTTTATTTATGCTGTTTTAATAGTCCTCCCAAATAAGATAACCCACTATCACATGTGAAATGAAAGCTACTGTCGAAAAATGACATCCAGCGACAAATCCCATGATAAAAATGTCACAGAATGAAGATATACACAATAAAAATAAAAATGATAAACTAGTGTAGAAGATGGTTTTCTCTACGAAGAAAATCATTCCCTAGAGTTAGACAATCATATTTATAAGGATTGTAAATACATAACAGTCCAATACTCAACAAGGCGTTGAAACTGAATTCTTAACAATTGGTCAGAGAAGAGATCATAACCAAGTGAAATGAAAGAAACGATCATAAGTCTCCACATTTAAAGAAGGCAATTTAAAAGAACAAACAATCCGAGGTAAAATGAAAAATCTAAGTGACATCGTGAAGATGTTAATGACTGACGACGTAGAACTTTGCAAAAAAGTACATCTGTTCAGTTCTCTGTATTTCAAAGCAGGACACAAACAGTAATGAACACAAACACAAAGTGTAATACCATATTAGACAAAACAACTTTAAAGGAGGGATAATAAATAAATAACGACTAGTGATGCTACAAATTTGAATGATAAGAAATGAATACATATGCGATATCATAAAGAATTGCTAAACATGTCACAAGCAATTTCCAACCAATGATTCTTGAAATACCAAGGACCACAGTCAAAAATTTCACACTTTTTCAACCACCTCAGATTAAAGGCCTGATTTGATTTGACCTTCTAACTCTTTTACCGATGAATTCTACTTCAACTAACATCTCTAGTTAAGGGAAGTAGTAGATGGATAGGTATTACATATGCATCAGTTACTTCAGTCAATGAAGACTCATTAAGTTGTTGAGTGATTTGCTTTTCTTAACTAAAACTACATTTAATTCCTACTTCATATACCCATGTTAGACCGTAAAATGAAGCGATTGAATAAATATGCCTTGTAATGTTTATGAATCCAGTTTCAGAGACCAAGTGGAGATCAGCTGATTGGTTTGAGCATCAGACTTTCGGCCAATGGTTCTTGAGTTCGAAATCCCCGTCCCCAACAACTCCAGCCTAGACAACTGGGTAGTATCCTCGATTCCCATAAAATAAATGTGGCTAGTAGCCTGGAACATGAAAAACTTGTTCCAGGTGGTTGTGCTTAGCGACCATTCCTCAGAGACATGAGTTGAGATAGGGCTTCACTTCTATAACCCAAATCATTAAAATTAAAGACACTTATTTCCCGATACGAATTTAAAACAAGCAACAAAGGTTAATAAAATAGTACTCAGTGAATTCACCAGATTTCGGGTTATATATACTATTCGAAATACATTGGGAGATACAAGACTGACAAGCAAATAAACTACATTGAATTAATCATGCAAAATGGAGGTGCTAATGTCTTTCAGGTCATGTTCAAATAGATAAGGGGAAGGTAGTATAAGAAATTAGACTTAAGGTAAAATGTATTACGGCTCAATTACATGACTTAAATAAACAATTAGTCAACAGAGAAAGAAATTAAGTGTACCAAGAATTGCGAACTGAGTAATATTAATATTAGAATTAAAAAGCGGTATGCTCAGTCTGCTTGTCTTTTTCGTTTGATGTGAGCTAACTACACTATGGCGGTAGCGACTTCCCATCTCACTGACTTTACTGGCATCTTAATTCGTCCAGAAAAATCGGTTGTCACCAGAGCCAGTAAATTAATGCATCTGAAAACATCGGTGGCCGATTGGAGACCCATAGCCTATCACGCGAAGTCATACTAGGTAGCTGTGAAGAAGTGTATAGACGCACAGTACTGCAAAATATCAGCATCACTGACTAGTGACGCTGGATGAAAGGAAACTAAATCTTGTATTGACAAAAGAGGTATGTTATTGCTGAACAGCCTGGTGCTCACAAGGCAACCCTAACAGGTTTCGGTTCAATCCCTTGCGAAATCATGAGTTTATATAACTGAGAAGTCCTACGCCAAGACAAAACAGCTGATCAGTGGTGCTCGGGTGATGTCGCGATGAAACTTGTCTTGACTTTAAACCTTGTTGAATCAAAATTCCTCTAACGAAAACAAAACCCTCTCCCAACACTTCTAGATTAAGAAATAACTTTTAAAGTTAGGCACGAACTTTTTTCGTTTTTGGGAAAAATGAATGAACTATAAAACTCCACAACAGCAGAATACGAACAATGCAAGGTGAAAAATCAAAAATAATTTCATTATAAACTGCGTACCCTTGTATAGTTCTAACCTCAGGGCTAAGAATAATTTGAATTAAACCAGCAACAAGAAGTGCACGATCCGTTCCCTTTCTACTTTGAACTAAAACATAAGATCCACGTAATTTGGCCTCTTCAATAATAGGGCTTTTGGTTTGTTTCCTTTGTCTTTCCGCTAATAAACATTGTTCTTGTTGTAATTGTTGTTGAGCAAATGCATCTAAAGCGTCCAGTGCTGTTGCTCCAGCGACTGCAGCTGCTAGTGCTTCACGTACTAATGATAACCAGGCTGAAAATCTTTTGGATTTTTTCACAGCATTAGTATTTATATTCGACTCATTCGGTGAATTAGGCGACTGAATATCTAATGAATTTGAATTTAAAGCTAAACTACTCCTCCTTGTAGGTGTATTCACCGTTTCTTTAATATCAGCGGTAAACGGGTTAGCTGGATTATCATATACTGATGCTGAGATATTATTACTGATATTGTTAAGTAGTCCTAGTGAACTTATGGGATTAAGAGCTGCATTAGATAACATTCCAAATGAATCACTGATTCCTGATTGAATAGCACTAAATGTTGTAGTTGTAGAACGCGTTAAACGTCCAGACATTGTACATGCTGAAAAGTAGATACAGGGAGTGGTTACAGATCTATACAGAAGAGACGACACAGCTGTAAATCACAAAATATGTCCTTGAACTGCTAAATGATGCTTATCTGACGTCTTCCTTTCTTTAATTATAGCAAAACAATCAACAAATCAGTATACGAAAATCCCCTACACCTTGTTTTATCACATTTTTGGACAGAATTTCTAATACATATCTCGCATACTTTTAAAGAATAAAAATAGAGACAATCAGAATTCCCTATATATATTTAAATGACTCCGTTTTTAAGAGGTACTTCTCATCATAAATGAGTAGAACTTAGGTAATCACTGAAAACTAAGGAGAGTAAAACAGTAGCTGTGCTCAAACTCTGGAATCTTCTGTGGTAAGCAACCACGACAATAGAGAAGAGTAAGTTTATGACATGTATATCATATAATGCGCACATTGCTTCTCATTCTCTGAAATGCAAAACATCTGCACTTCCTGAAGAAAATAACCCTGGCGTAGTAAAACTATTAATGGGCATTCGTGCCCTCTATCACAATCAATTTTTCTATCCACCATAACTAATAACTTTAATTACTCGAGTGACTAAATGTAAAATTTCCCATCAATGTTGCCAGAAAAAGTCTTTTACCCCTTGATTAGCCTAACTATGAAGGTATAGAAATGCATATGTCAACTTTTAAATACATTTAACCATATCTTTCACGAAACCGATTACTCTGAATACAAATCTAGCTCATGTCAGTTCTAGTACTCTTTGAGATGTTACTTAACTCAGCAATCAGTCACACGTAAGTTCACACGTTTAATATAACAGCTGCTGAAATGACAGCACAACCTGATTAGCCAAACATCAGTAGATGGACGCCTAGCTTGAGAGTTGACAGCCTAAAAAGTCAATCGTTAACAAATTAGAACACAACAAGGCAACTTCATCTACGATTAAGATAACTTTGATAAGATGACTACACTACAAACCACAGAAATATTTTCACGGATTAACTATCTTACCACTAATGAATTTTCTGAAGGTATTATTTAAATTGGCAGTGGATTCCACAGGTCGACAAACTCGTCGCCATTGAGGATAGTATTGTTCGAATTCAACAAGGCCACCTGTAGATCAGAGAAAACAGAAGAATTTTTATCAGTTAAGTTGGAAAACCATACATGGTAAATGAAATAAAATCAACAAAAGTGAAGTAAACAATTCATTCACTCTAAATTTACAAACATTATCTCATAATAAGTTATGTTGATTAACAGTAACAATCACGAGTTTAGTAATAATTTTTAGAGAGTAACCTTAGCAAACTGATGAAAATGGAGTTCAATTAATGATATTTCAAACCATTCATGCACAAACACAATCTTCAAAAAAACTAAAATTACCTTGGGTACCCTACATGTAGCAATGATGCTTGCAGTTCAGTATCAAAGTACCTTACTTTTAATTTGAAGTCACATAGACTGATCCGATTTCTGCAAAAATAGTTTTTTTTCATGTTTACGTCACCTTTCACAATAGATATACCTTACTAATAAATGTCAATTTCCTTGCAATTATTTTAACACAATGTTGCACCGACGTCATAAACCACTCTTCACTCAACAAAGAATAATAGCCTTAAAAAGATATGTACAACAACTACTACCATGGGAAATTGTGGAATGATTTACAAAAGTGAAGCCAATAATTTCAAGCCGTGAAAAATGCTACATGTTAAATAACACTTTACGATTTCTAATCCATGTATATCATAGTCAGTTAGATATTAGTTACACGGAACAGATCCTTCGTGTAATAGAATTATGAGTAACAATTATTGTGTGAGGGCTGGAAATATTACCCTATTATCAAGACAGAAGGTGGGGAGGGATTCGAACTCAATAAGGAACATTACACATATATATACATATATCTTACTGGTAATAAACAAGGTATCAAAAGATAGTCTAATAACCCAGCTATACATCGAAATCATGAAATAGTTTGCCAATGCAAAATCATTTAAAATAAACATATTAGTTGAGGTCTAGGATTGGATGAGTTGTACTTCGTCTAAGATTTTAGATATTTATCAACAGGAAGCTAAATATACCAACGCAAGTCCTTGAAAAATAACGAAGTAATGTTATTTGATATCTTACACAAAATGACTTTATTCATACACAATCACTAGTTGGAAACTAATATAAAAGAACACTGTTCATTTGTTTCTTGAATGGATAAAAGCTTACTAACTTGTCACTTGTGGTTTCTTGGTTTCGCTTTGAGTTCTTAAATCCAATATAACACCTCTGTATCGGTCTGGTAATACAGATGCAAGTAGTTGTTCATCAAAACGACAACGATTAAACAAAGTTGAACTGAAAGGAGATACAGGATTCTTAGAAGACTGACTTATTATCATATTAGTAGATTTAGACTGACTTAAGGCACCTGTTAATGAATTACTATTGGTGGTCATCTGTGTTGCTGACACAAAATCGGGATGAGAAGATAAAAGCGTTCCTGCAGTGTTTTGAGTGTTTCCACCAGTAGCCTGTGCAATCATTGGCTCTGCAGCTATCAACAAAGCGGTCTAATAAACAAATTAAAACCAAGAAAAAAAATACTCTAAATGAACGAATTTAGCAATAAAAGGTAGTGAATGTTCTTTAGTAGTTATATTCAAATTAGTTTAGCAGTCAGTTAACCATGAATAATATTCTTCATAAATAATTAATAACTGACCAATTATTTGACGAACAGTAACTTAATCCAAAAAAATTGCGTAATCAGGCTGGATTCCTCACATTATATGTAAATAAACATGTCTGTGATTGCCAAATTGCACCACAGATGTAAAAATAGCACACCTGGAAATTTAACCCATATACCAGTCGATAACAATCTCAAGGACAGGTATTTCATAAAATCAAGTTGAACAATATGTGCAAAAGTAAGAGGCCTTGTAGCAACAATTTGGCTGCAGTAATCGGTATATATATATATATATATATATATATATATATATATATAATTCTCCCTCGCTAAATCATTCTAAGAGAAAACTTAAGTCATAAAACGGCAGAAAGTAAGAGAAACAGACAAGATCCAAATAGATCGAGTAAATTAGCTATCCAAGCAACATAAGACATAATGAGATTCGAAATAACGACGATGACATGACTAATGCAGTTCGTTATAGCTTTTCCAAGAATTGAAATGTTTTGACATACCAAAGGCTGCTATATTAAAACAGCAGCATACATCGTAAACAATGTTAACTGACAACTAACAGCTTTATGGTTTGTTATTTATAATCCATATAGAATCTTGGAACAGTTGCTTCGAAAGTAGTTTATGCAGGGAAGCAGCGATGTAACGATAAGATGATGGCATTTCGAAGAAACTAGTTATAGAACATTGATTACTGAGCTTCAACAGTATCTAATACTTTGCTTAATTATTACTTTTATTATTTAAGCATACTTAGTACAGTATGGGCAGGAAGAAATGTACCACTAAATAATCGAATAGCAGTAAGTGGAAAAGAAAAGGAATAATATAGCTATGGAACAACAGAATAAAATAGGACGGCATACTTACTAAGTATATTTAAAGGAGAGTTCACTGCTTCATAATACTTCCAGTGGTAGAAGAAAAAAGGAAACTGTGGCTACGGAAAATAATCGGTATGGTAGACTGTTGGCGATAAAACATTCACGACTTTCACACGTAAAACATTATTTAAAAAATTGTGATACTAATAGATACTTTTTGATGATTCATAAAAGTAATGCCCGAGTAATGAGGATATTAAACACACAGCCCCAGCAAATAGTGAAAAGTTGAAGTGAAGCTTATAAACGAGGTCTTTCGAAAGCGACGTAAATATAGTTCTTCAGATAAGTGGCTGACAAATGACTCAAAAGCATGTGGATGAAGACAGCGCGAGCATATTTCTGTAGGTTCAAAAGTTTACATGCTTCTGTTGAGATGGCTAAGTCGCACGTTGTACGTCGGCGTACTGGAAATACTTAAACTACCGAAGGATGGGAATAAAGTAGCACGAATCTATTCATGGACGTTTAACCGTACCATATCAGTCAGCTATTCTCCAGGTATGCTTTGAGCTAATTTCTGAAGCTAATTTGAGCTGTGGTGAAATTACTTTTATCCGTAAGAAGTGAAAAGGATCATACATAAAGGAACCCCAAGAATAAAACTGACAATTGTCTTACGGTTCTGATTTCTAACAACTGGACTGAAAACATGAGCTGAATTTGAAAAAAAGTATATTAGACTACAAAACAGATATTTCGTAAACAACAATGAACTAACTGGTACATACCTGTCTTGGTTTATGATAGTAAAGAAGTATAGGAAGACGACCACCTTGACGAAAACGACTACTCTCTATAAGCATTTGATCATCACATTTAGCAGGTACTAGAAGCATTTTGAAGTAGGAATTGCACAACTACGATAAAAATGAACGAGACATACTTATTTAATTTCATCATAATTAGTCGCGAGAGATACTCAATAAGAATATATATATATATATATATATATATCATTATGAGACAAACAAATTACACTAACTGCCGAAGCATCGAACACAACTCAGATACAAGTGAGTTACTTCTACTGGACCATGTATGAAGATATTTGCATACAGATACCTTTTCCAATGCTAAGTAAGTTGCCAAAACTCTACATCTTAAATTAATACACGCAAATACATACCAACCAAAATTCCGCTTTCCTCCTGTCAATATCATTGTCCTATGACCCTTCATCACTTTTGTAATATAGTGATTACTTTCCCTTCTTGATAACCACGCTTAAGTGTTGGAGTTATTTACGGCAATTCAAGTCAATGAGTAGTATACCTATCTAGAAACATCCATCTGCGTCTTATAATTATCACGTTATTTAACAAATCCCACGAAGGTAGATTATTAATTTTTTTGATGAGTTATGCTGAAGATCTACTTGCTAACCACTCACATGGTCCGAATTCGATTCCTCGGTCCGTCGGTCGGTTTTCGACATAGAACTTTGCACATATGTGCGGCAGTTCAAGTCGCCACACTCCCTCCATGTACCACACAAAGCAAGAGAAGAAAGTAGGAGAAATGCATAGTAGAGACAGTAAACAGAGGTGTGAGACAAAGGAATAGTAATAACGGAGAACAAAAGTTTAATTGGAAATCATAAGTCACAAGGAGTGGATGCATCTGCGCCACTGAGAACGATTTTGAGCCATGTCACCAATTGTTTCCAACCATTGGTTTTTACCATCCCGAGGGCCCCAACCAGGAAGTCTACATCTTCTTACGTGGCTTAGATTGACTGTTGTGGATTTCATTGACTGGTGCCATGTTTTGGTTTGACCGCCGCTAGCTCTTTTCCAGCCTGACCCTATATCAGCTAACATTGCCCGTCGAGGAAGGCGATGACTAGGCATACGTAGCACATGTCCTAACCATCTCAGTCGAAGTAATTTCACAGTCTCGTCGATTGATTTCCCCGCCTTACCTAGCACTCGACGCCTAACCTCAATATTGCTCACCTTATTATACCACTTCACGCGGGAGATAGAACGCAGGCACCTATGATCGAAGACAGCTAATCTTTTCATGTCTTCTGCTCTCAATGGCCAGGTCTCACAGCCATAAAGGAGGACGGAGTGGACTGTTGAGCAGTACACACGCCCTTTGGTCGATAGTCGGATATCGCGTCTACGCCAGAGACGGCGAAAACTAGCGAATGCGAACCTAGCCCTCTGTATTCGTGCTGAAATTTCGTCGGAGATCAACCCGTTGGGGCTGATGGTACTTCCCAAGTAGGTGAAGCGGTCAACGTGCTCTACCACTTCACTTCCTATTTCTAATCTAGGGGTCGGTGAAGTCCAATCCTGCAGCATCATCTTACATGTCAACAGGCCAATGGGTTAGATAATATGCATACAAACAACTGACAGATTTTATCCTTGATACTTTTGACTTCAATTAAATCAAATTTGTCTTAGTCTCTGGCTTAAGCGACCAGTACGAAACTTGTTGAACAACATTGTATCATCACAACATCAGCAATGGAATATTGAAACAACAGAAATTGTACATGGACTGGTTGCTGGATGGTAATCCATGTGGTTATTGAGTCTTAAGTTTGTGTTAGTAGAAATTCGACAGTCAAATATGCAATGCTGCCACTGAGCTAAATAACACCACAATTTTCCACACTATGATATACTTTTCTTTCTGATGTTAGGTGTTCTAACAGACGTCACTAGATGCTAAATCCAGAGACTGACGCTACACTACACTCGAGGACTAATCGATACACACGAATTGGCCATCATATGATAACTAATGTACCTTTCCAGTTCTCAGCGCATGTTGATCGAAATTAGCCGACCAGTCCTGTGTTAAATCTTATCCAACTTACATACAAGTTGCAGTCCCGAAAATGAATTAGGGGTTGAATTCAGAAATGCAGATAATAGATACATTACAATACGCAAGTATGCAATTTTCTCTAGGAAGATCACAGTGATCTAGGAATCAAGTGACCTTTCTGTCGGTTCGGTAAGTTTCGTCAAATGGATAAAACCACAAACCTCAACAATTTTTCTATAAGATCGCATGTGTCTGCTCTCAAATAAATGTCCTCCAAACCCTGCTGACAAACAAGAAGACATTTGTTTACCTCATAGTTTTTATTCAGATCGCTTATGCGCCAATCCCCAGTACACAAGATTTCCTTAATATTTTTAGGCCAATCTGTAGTTTCTACTTTACATCGGTGGGACGATGAATCCATTTTGTAAAAGAATGGGTAAAGTTGTGTCGCATCATCTGAAAAATTAGAAAATGAAATTGCAACTACGATGAAAAAGATGTGCAATCATCATTAAAATTCTCACAGTGAACATAATATTCATACTAATCTGTTCATAGTTGGATTTCAACAACAGTTACACTACTAAGGAGTTGATTACATAAATGAAGAGCTGCCTGAGACATTATTTACCACTGAATCACTGTTCATTTTCCTCGAAGTCTTACTAGGTCCGACGTTGGAAAACACTAGTTTCAGAATGACAGTAAACACAAACCTGATAGGCTACTGAACAGTTACGTATACAGTTGGTTCACTTGCACATAAAATTAGCAGAAAAATTATTTCATTGAAAGCGTTCCTTCCTTCATATGAATTTCAATCAACAAAACTTAATGAAGCAAGAAAATGATTGCGTTTACAAAGGCGTATTTGTTCCTAGTCAAGACCAAAAACCAAACATTTATATAGAGGAAGAAATTGTAGTTACCCTGAATCTACAATGGATTCTAGATTACCAGACCGGTGCTTTCAACTGAGCTACGCGCCCCATCCGCTAGTCAGGCCTTTATGAAACTGCACTTAGCAAGGAATTTTACTCAGTTGTGGCGCGAATGAGTTCTATGTAACTGAATGTTGAACATTATCGTTGTATAAAAATCACTGAAATAGTTTAGAAATAAACTGTGTATATAAAAGTCACGGAACAACAAGGAGGTGCGCCAGTATTTCGTACACATACAGTTCTATTTTCGCAACATTAATTGTGATTACTTTGTATCTTTTATATTTCCTTATATTATTTCTTGATATGAAATCGCACAAAATGGTATAGTCGCAGTTGTAAACATCTTCAATGAATCCTAAATATAGGATATGAAATGGAGTATTCCAATGTGTTGATCGCTTTATTTGTTGAGGAAATGGGACCAACCCTAATAAAAATCTTCAAAGCAATACAATTTAGGGTCCAATTTGCATCCTCATTGGTGCACACAAGATTTCCAGCTACCTATGAAAGAGCTGTCCATGATTTCATTTTCCTACCTTAAGGCTCTTAGAAATGACCGCTAAAACTACAGAATATGAGAAAACAATTTTTATCAAGTATATTTTTGTAGTACATGTTTTGACCACCGAGGTTAGGATAAGCAAGTAGTATCGTTGGCATTCCACAAACGTATGGATTTCACAGTCTCATATATCAGTCTGAAAATGGTTATCGACTTAGACTGCATCGTAACCATACATTTTTAGAAAAATAGCTTTCTTATGAATCAAACAGGTGTGAAAAACAACACTTCAGTTTACGGTGCTGCAGTTTATATACGAGGATACTAACAAGACCATATACAGCAAGAAGCCATCGTTTTAATAGTAAACACAGAGTCCTAGAAATCTCAGTACATACTTTGAGATAATACGAAATCTTCAGCCTAGTAGCTGGTAATCTAATAAATTAATTAATTTGTAGGTGCATAAATGGCAGAAACAGCAGGACACCAAAGAGGATCTCGCACAAGAATGCAAACAAAGTGAAAGACAATAGAGTGCAAAATGAGAACCAATAGTTAAGTGCCAATTAGCGGAAATGTTTGGAAATGCACGGGGAGGATTGGACGTACCTGAATCACTGAAAGCCTGGGGCCACAATTTACACACGAATATCAGACTTACACCATTAAAATCGTAATTAAAAGCTTCATGGGTCTGTGCTATCTACACAAAACAGCCGGAATATCCATAAAAGCACTTATACCAGCAGTAAGAACAGGAATATACTTACCAACTGAAAACATCATATCCAACGCCTGTTCGAGAGAGCGAGCATCAAAGACACTGTTGACAGTCAACTCATAAATACGAAAATCTTTTGTATACAAAGCAACTGTGCATCCTGGGTGTGAAGACGGTGTGAATCGACGGTCGGCAGGAGACTCTAATAAGCGAATACCATCAATCGCTTTATACATGATCTAAAATATGGTCAAATTATGACTCAATTAATGAATTGTGAAAAAGGCTAATTTGTTTCTAAAAACCTTACAAATCGTAAGTTCGCGACCGCAATAATAAATTACCAAACGTGTACTTTTGAGCATACCTATGCGCAAAATCACCTTCAAAAGCTAAGCAAATTACAGTTTTAAGCAGACAATTTTTCTGCAAATTTTGGCTATAACTTCTACCGATAAAAATCCAAATTCAGCACACATCTTTGTTATACGATGAAAATTGCATTAGTACCGCAGGAAAGCTTATGTAAAAAATTACACTACTGTACAGTTTCATCTAGTAACCAAAATCTTTGTGGAAAGACTGTATGTAATATGTATACATGTGCGGCTTCATATGAAGCCACTGTACTCTTGTTGCTAGCTTCTCAACATGTCTTTTCAGTGAAACCACCGTACCAATTTGGAAAAGCTACATGAAATTACAATGCCTTACTCTGAGTACTCATATGTAATCTTACACTAAGCTGCCTAAGCTTACAATAATGTTGAATTAAATCTCACGAATTCAGAAATAACGCTGACTTTCTATGAGGAGTAAATTCTGAGATTCTGTCTGTCTGTCTGGATTCAACATAGAACTTGGCACCAAAGTGCAGCAGTTCGAGTTGCCACGTTCCAAATAGCACACAAAGGTAGACGGGAAAAGGAGAGAAGAGAATCAATAGGATTTAGATAAGTATAAGAGTGAAACAGAATGAGTAATGGTAGAAAGGAATATGAAGGTTAAAGAGACTGAATACATCTGCGCCATTGACAACGATTTTGAGCCATGTCACCTATTGTCTCCAGCCATTGATTCTTAGAGTCCCGAGGGCCCCAACCCGGAAGTCTGCATCTCCCTACCTGACTCAGTTTAACTGTCAGGGATTTCATGGATTGATGCCATGTTTTTGTTTGGCCACCGCTTACTCTTTTCCAGCCTGCACCTATATCAGCTAGTAATGCCCGTCGGGGGAGACGATGGTCAGGCATGCGCAGTACGTGGCCTAACCATCTCAATCTATGCAACTTCATAGCCTCTTCGAGTGATTTTCCCTCTTTGCCCAACACTCTACGCCTAATGTCAACATTACTTACCTTATTATACCACCTAACGTGAGAAAGAGATCGTAAACATCTGTGGTCAAAAACAGACAATCTCTTCATGTCTTCCGCTCTCAATGGCCACGTCTCACCGCCATAGAGAAGGACGGAGCGAACTGATGAGCAGTATACACGTCCCTTGGTTGACAGCCGGATGTCACGCCTACGCCAGAGATGGTGTAAGTTAGCGAAAGCAGCCCGAGCTTTCTGGATCCGTGCTGTGATTTCGTCACCAATCAATCCGTTGGTGCTGATACAACTTCCCAAATAGGTGAAGTGGTCAACATGTTCTATCACTTCACTCCCTATCACTAAGCTAGGAGTTGACGTAGTCCAGTCCTGTAGCAGCATCTTACATTTCACAGGGGCGAATCGCATGCCAAACATACGAAGATTGCTGCTCAAGGTGTTCAGAAGACTCTGCATTCTGTCAGCGTCCTCCCCTAACAGGACTATGTCGTCTGCGTATTCTAAGTCTATAAGACTATTCCCTGGTAACAAGTCGATTCCGAAGTCATTAAGTTCAGTTAAGGATACTTCCATTAGCATATCTATGATGAAGTTAAACAGAAAAGGGGAAAGTGGACATCCTTGACGGACACCACTGGTTGTTAATAATTCAGAGGACAATTCCCCATAGGCCCTTACACAGCTACGTGAGTTTGAGTAGAGTGCCTTGATTAGTGCAATGTACTTTCTTGGCACTCCCTTCATAGTCAAACATTGCCATAGAACCTCTCGATCCACGGAGTCGAAGGCCGCCTTCAAGTCAAGAAATATGGCAATTGTTGGACGCCTAAAAGTGTGTCTATGTTCTAGGATCTGTCGGAGAGTGAAGATATGATCTATGCACCCTCTACCTGGCCTAAAGCCCGCTTGATTTTCCCTCGTTTGTTCCTCCCGAGTTCGGCTTAGTCTGTTCATGATTACTGAGCCTAGGATTTTAGAGACTATGTTCGTTAAGCTGATCCCCTATGATTATCACATGACGACTTGTCTCCCTTCTTGAAAATCGGTATAATAAGTGACTTACCCCAGTCTGATGGAACCGTCTCTGATTCCCAGACGTTACCTAGTACCTTAGTTAAACTATATACCAGTATGTCACCCCCATATTTAAATACCTCCGGAATAATTCCGTCAGGTCCTGCCGCTTTGCCTCGTTTCAAATTACAGATTGCTTTGGTGACCTCACTTACAGACGGCGGGCCAGTGTCTATGTCCCATTCGGGTATGTGCTGGATGGCGGGGAGGCTCAGTGTGGCTGTAGGCAAGTTAAACTGTTCCTCGAAGTGTTCTTTCCAGCGTTCGAGGCATCTATCCTGAGAGCTAATTAAGGAGCCATTTTTCTCACGAATAGTCTCACTTATGATTTGCCTTCTCCCACCCGTTTCCCTGATGAGTCTAAAGAGTTGCCTAGTGTTGCCTATCGCGGATGCTTTTTCCATCTCTTTCGCCTTTGTCAACCACCACTGTTCACGGTCCTTGCGGAGACTTTTCGTAAGTTTCCTTTTGTGCAGCTTTCGCTCCTCATTGAATTCGGAGCTCGCCGGAATAAGTCTTCTAGCATCTATCAGTTCGGATGAGGCAGTCGAAATCCAATGGTTTTTACTCACCTTTGGATTTACCTTATTCACAGCTTTTACAGCTGTATCTATGGCTGACTGGATATTTTTCCAGGCTTCTTCAGGGTGAGCGCAGCTGTCGAACTCAGATATGTGTTTAGCTAGTTCTTCCTCAAATAGGGACTTAGTTTCCAGATCGAGTTGGGGACGTGATGGGTTTACCGCCAGCTGTTTCCTACGTCCGTTCAGTCGTAAGCACACACGAGCGCGGAAAATTCTGAGATTGCTCTAAAATGGCTTCGTTATGCACACAAACTAGAACTCAGTGCTGATTTTCAGCATGAATCGCGCCAATTCAGCACCCTATGCTTATTCTAGGCACTTCAAGAATTAGCTCAGTACCTACTGCGTTTGCTAATCAGCATTGTTTCAGCCCTCTTAGCCCAGACTCAGCACTGATTGGCATTACTTCAGAAGTTAATTCAGCACATACTGTCAATTTCTGATAGATAAAATATTCATTTACCATAAAAAGGCATTATAGAAGCATAAGTTAGAATTAGTTAAGAATTCTTGTTAGCTTGGATGCTAGATAATACAAATTAAGGGCAGCAACTTACAGAGAACTCATACTCATGACAGTTAAACACAAGGAAAAACTGTGTGAAGGATAACTTCTTAACCATCAAACACTGCGCTGGAGTATACATGCGTACATCCTCAATACTCAGAGGATTCATTTTCCGAATTGACCTTGAAAGTTTATTCCCACAGTTTCTAGCTTTCCAATATCCAATATTCACGTCACCACCTGGTGCCAATCTAATTATTTCTTTGCATACTTCGCTTCATAGTAATAGCCGGTTCTTGCTGTTTAGAAAATTTCTTTGTGACGATTGATGTAATATGCTGCCGACGGAGTCAGAGGCTGCCTACAGTTTGCATTTTACTCACCATAGTAGGCCACGTCTCCATACTACTCCCCTCAATATGTAGATCAGTGGACGTCCAACCATGCAACAAATAGATCCATAGAAGATGAAAGTTTAGCATTCTGAGATAGGGAATTCCACCGCCTCCTTGTTCGATGCGACAAACGGTCTTCGGTCTTCGCTAAGTGGATCGGCTTACAAATGGTTAGTTCTAGTTGATAGAAACAGACGGCATAAAACTACACCCACATCTTTGTACGAAATATGAAGCGCTCGGATGAAGCCAAACTTCATTCGTCATTACGAAAGTAGTAGTAAGTTTGGCTGATTCAATATCACCTTATATTAAATGCATGAGAAAGCACTGATCAGTTTAATTCCTCCACTTTGGTCCCTTTTTTATATTTCGAACACGTGAGAACTCCCTGGATTCCACATTCCACAATTCGCTCCGATATATGCCGGGTATGTTACGAAATGCACTGGTGTACAGAGAAGAAAAGGTCTTATAGGGTAACATCAGTGTTCTAAAAGCCTTTAAAGACGTATGTTATTCTGAAACTTTTAGGTCAAAGTTTACAATCTCTCTCAAATCCCTATTATCTGTTATTGTGAGTGGCGTGACACCATCGTTGAGTGTTTTTCCGCGTTGTTATGAGTGGCGTGAATTATTACACGCTAATATGTATAAGTCTCCGAAGACCAATAGTTATACTTTTCAATCAGTATATATAGATCATCTTGGGAAGAAAGTCAATTGCTCTCACTGCATACAACCTTCCAAGGCTTGATATCATCAGGGAACATTGAACAGGGTAGCTGAATTATCAAAAGCATTTCATTTACATAAAGTGATGAGAGAATAGGACTTAAAATTGTTATCTGACGTAGGAGATTCTACAACAATTTGCATTTCATCAACTCAAAAACCACTTAAATTACACAGCAATTGGGTGGGGAACCTTATTGGGAGCATTGCAAAAATCTACAAATGTGCTATCCACCGTCCTATTCGCATCAGCTGCATCTGTCCAACTTTCCTAACGTCTAAGTTGAGCAGGTAAGAACGAAATGTCCTGAAACCATGCTGTCCTTCTGCCAAAAGTTTGTTACTACCAATACTATGAGTAACAGCGTCAGAAACAATTGTTTTTCGCACTTTCCACTGCTGCATCAATTAGACTAATAGGACAGTAACTTTCAGCTAAATTACCAAGTACGATTTTTAAGACTGGATTGGGGATACCATCCTTTTAGTTCCTTGGATACTCAGACTGTGACATGTTAATCCAAACTAGTAGCAATTCAGCTACGACATGTGCCAGTGCAGACAATATTCGTGGATAGAATCCACCGGAATCAACAAACCTACCAGGATTGACTTTGAAAGCATTTAGGCGTGATCTCATTAATTTTTAGAGGCTCCATTCCTAGATCAGTTCCTGAAAAATCCGCTAAAGATGCTATAGAGAATACTTAGCCGGACTACCTCAACACATACAATTGCTAAATCACCATCGGTTTTCATCAACCTGAAGGGTGCAGATAACACCACCCATGAGAGGAAGGTGTTTTTGGACAGCATTGAGGGGCCCTAAAAGTGGTAATTCGTATGCCTTCCTCGGATGGTAGATTGAGACCCAATGCTAGTTTCTGGCCTCACATAAGTTTAGCTAGAAATGTTGCAGACCACTGGAGATGGGTTTCCATGACCTTCACATTCACCGGAGAACTGCTGAAACCCATCATTTTATCCCCAACGGAGGGTGCCGACTGAGTGGTCTGCTAAGAACTCTCCATCACATAGATTCAGCGTAGTCACTTTAAGAGCCGTTTTAAATTTCTTCTTGGCACCACAGATGAACAAGTTTCGGGTTACCAGTCCACAGTCAAAAAAATTTTTAATGGGTGCATTACCCACAAATCAAACGGCTGCGTTTAGAAATTAACGCTTCCATCAACATAATTGTTTAATTTAGCGACTGAAAACTCGTGATTCTGCGGGAGACTAGTGGTGCATGAAATAAGCACACCTACAATTATTCACCTTCGCAGGGTAAATATACATTGGAAACGATAATGGAACAATGTCAGTAAGCTCACCCTACTTGGTCAAAGCAATTCGAGTGATATAATCCTAAGCATCAATACTGTTTGAGTTTTGCGAAAATGAGCGTAACAACTGAAGGCCGTGTTACGTGTGGTAGATACGGTAGGCTATTCACAAAAGTATAGATATGACCTGCAACGCGTTAGTTGGCTTACTGGCATGAATGCTTTCAGCAATATTATCTGCAAGCGGCTCACCACAGAAATTAGAGTCCAGTTAAGCATGTAAAAAAGTATCGGTGAATCAACGGTAATCAGCTACGAGTGGATTTTTTAATCCACATGCGGTTAGGAACCAGAATGATGGCAAATTAATCCATACACAATGACGAATGAAGCATGAAGAGGCTGCATAGTACCATCGAATAACTCAGTGTGATTTAAAGTGCAACTATCAGTATATTTCGCATAAGGATTATATGCTTCTTGCTTGGCTGCTCGTCATACCCATCTTAATTCCTCAGCTACATAATCTCTCCTTCTGAACACCTCAGTTACTTACTACATCTCAGTGGCCATAGCGTACCGTGTTGTGGAGGCCCAACAATCTCAAGGCGTAAATGAAAGCACCTTATGGTGACTACTAACCAGAGGAAATTGAGATACCAGTGTAATTATGTTTTTTGAGTGTGAATTAACACCTGATTTGATAAGGAAAAGGCTGACAAGTCTGAGGAGTACTTGGCTATGATTTGCCGTAAAAACAATGCTCTACATATCATCCGGAGTAACATACCATCAACCACATCAATAAATTCTCGTAAAAAAATTGGAAACAGCTCAGATATTGTAGGGCATATGGAGACATATCATAATAATAATAGTATATTCTCATTTTTTACATGAGGGACGCCAGTTTACAGGCATCGTCAATATGATAAATTACAAATACGATTAGTAAGCATATTTAATAAAAGTAATTTAATAAAATACATTTTTTCCTACCTGTGTAGGACACACCAATTGTACAGGCATGGATAAGTATTATTTAAACTACATAAATTTGGTTCATGGTAAAATTATAAGGTTGCAGTCATTTTGTCTATGGAAACAATATGATAACTAGTCATTCAATGGAACACACCAAGAAATATAGAAATATTGTCTTCACATTAACAAAAAACCCAGGTATGTTTTGGATGGATTACAAATACTTGGGGAAAAAAAGCTTGAAGTAATTCCTCCATATAACTTTGGTGTGTACGGCATCGAGTCTTATTCTTGATTTATATCCAAATTTGATAATAATTTAAAATAAGTAATACACTTGTATACTTTTGTCAGCATTGTCATCGTAACATCACAAGTGAATTATACTCAATACAGACTAATAATAATGACAGTTTATATTTTCTTATAAACGGGTGTTTTTTTGCAGACAAGATCAGTTATGTTGTAAGTTACAATCGTGAAGTATTATAAATCAGTACTATTGGTCTGGGTCGTTATTCCCAGCTGAGGCTAACTGAAACGAGCTGAGAGTCATTCAAGCAGCCTAACTAACTTGCTTTTCATTTGTTTGTAGTTTACTGTTCAGCCGGAGCTTAGTAAGTCCCCAGTTTTTAATTTATCTACTCTTGCAACCTTTGATGGTATGGGGACATATTAATGGAGTGCCATTCAGAGTACTCTTAGATACTGGTGCGTCGGTCTCTCTCGTAAAGACTTCCTTCCTTCGACGCTTGTCCCAGTAACCACTCACAATATCTTGACGACGGCTAACAGGGCTAAACTGGAAGCTCGATCTGCTACAGACCTACAGTTGCGCCTTGGAGATCTAAATGTTCGCCATCAGTTTCCTTTCTGTGCCCAGGTTACATGGAACCTCATCCTAGGTGTAGACTTCTTGACGTCACACCACACCCTTATAGATGTCGCCCATTCTCGAGTCACAACTGATTTTGTCCCTAAATCCTTATATAGGGCTGAAATTATCCAGCATGTTGGTTGAAATTTCGCTCGGTAAATTTTTTTCGTCAATAATTTTCAATAAAATTGTGTTATCGGAATTCTCATTTCCTGGCTAGTTATGTTGGTATCCGTGTCATGTAATCTGACTGCGAAACACTCTAAGCATATTGGTTGTAATGGTTGATGTTTCATACGGAATTAGTCAAAACATCGCTATGATGAAGAAGATGGGGGCAAAGTTAAACTTTCGACACCAATAACAACCAATCAGGAAACGACCTTGAACGGACCAATCACATTAAAGAGGCGTTTATGATAAGTGGAAGCGTATATTTATACAAAAATGCATAGAAAAGAGGATAAAACGGTTACAATGGGTATCTTTCTCCAACATGGGACAAAAACATCTCCCAATTCAACATGGGACCGTCAATAGAGAAATCGCACCACATTCTGTACATATATTCGTCTAAATGACTATAAATCACATCCTTTTGCGATCCATTTATAGCCCGGATCCTATTTTTCAATCTTCCCCAAAAACCTTCAATTGAATTCGTTTGAGTCCTAGTAACAGGATCCACGAAATCACTTGAGTGGTTCACTCTATGGTGAATGTAACCCAGAGATGACAATGAATCATAACCTTTCCACTCGTCCGTATGCAAAATTGATCTCCTTTTGACAAGTCGAGTTATAATAAGTATCAAAGTGCTCGCCTTCCTATCTCTTATTCTTTCAACAAACCCTTTTCGAAG